ACCGAGATATTGGCTGGCGAGTACCTAGGACCCTCTCATCAATCAACCAAGGGACGTACACGAGTATTGCTGTACCTAAGGGCTTAGGACAATCAGGATAGGAATGAAGGATATGTCTGAAGAGTAATCGATGTTCTTAGGACCCAATTTTTTCCACATCTTCAGAGTTGTGTTTTGTTTTCTTCAATTTGATGTATTAACTTTTTTTTTCTAAACTTTGGGATTGGTACTGAATTTTAACCTTTCATTCCATCGTCATAAGCCAGAATACGCCAGTGATGAAGAAATGCCTTTTTTTTAGAGACTTTAATTGTAGGTTACTGGCCAATGCTTGATTAGGCCTTTTTATTGCATATTTTGAACCATATTTTATATCTCGAAAGTGAATTATAAAGAATCTAATACAAAAACTTAGGTAAGTTTATCGTTTAGAGAGTTTACCTGCCGTCACTGTCGCAATACTTGCCATTTTTTTTTAGTTTAACCTAAAAAATAGAAAATTCAATTATTACCCATATTTTCCTGTGGTGGCTGTAAAAAATATTCCAAGTATACGTGCGGCACGGGTTCCGTGCTCATTCCATTAGCGGGCAAGCAGTTGGAACTGCTCCAAGTCATTTACAACAATATTTGTTGATATTAAATTTACATAAGCGGCGTGTTACCAACGACCACTGATTTGGCTTCGTAATAAACTTTATTTAAACGACACGGACCACACTACTGGTACATAGATTTTTCTGGAAAAAAATACAACTTAGCAATATTTATACGTTGAATAGGCTACAGTTCACTACTCTACTGATAAATCGATCCTGTATATGCTTTGAAGTGGTATAGAGGAATTCTTCAAACAAATCTTTTTGTCAAACATAATCTATATAAAGAAGAATCCAAGACCATTCCAACGGTTTAGTGTGTTAGTGTTACACAGTCGGACGCTACTTTAGAATTGATAAAACCAATGTAACACGATTATATACTATACAGTTATTGTAGGGTCGAGCAGCCTTGCTGGTGTATCAATGATTTACAAAATAAAAGTTGTTTCGGATGTTTAACGCGCTGTGGCCGTGCAATAAATAAATAGTGACGAGTAATTTAATATATACCCAAAAATCGGACACCATTCTACGAGCCGCTGAAACACCGCTGAAGCAATAAAACAAATGGAATTCGATCGGAATTCCTTACAATTATCATCAAATATTCGAGACATGGCCGACATGTCGGCTGCGACATGTTTCGACGGAGCACAATTAATCACACCAATTTGCGAGACGTTTAAATTTGTCCCCCCCCCTACCCTCCTCCCACTTTACTCCTTTCCTCCGTCTCGCAGTACACGCAAGTTTAATTTTCTTATTCCACTTCAAGTGTTTTACTGAAACTTAGTTCTATAGTACTCGTAATTGCTGAAGAATGACGCTTGATGGCAGAACACTATATAACAATTGTCATTTAACTGTTAAGCACGTTCTGAAGTTTTTGTCAAAGTAATTATTTGATTTACAAGTTTATTTTGTTTCTAGAGTGAAGATAGCTTCATTAACATGTTATTTATGGCAAAAATGTTATTCAGATATTTAAAGTTTTTTGCCTATAAGGCCTTTACTGAAACTACATATTATATGTACACAATGCAAGAACAGGTTACATTATCTGAAATATTAAAACCAGCATGACAATTTTGATAATTATGTAGTTTTTACGATTTCTCTTCGATCGAATTATTATAAATAAAATCCATTATGAAAATGATGGTTCTGATAAAGTTACATTTCCTAAAATTCGTGATATTTTCGGACAACACAATCCTTCTGAGACCGCTATTAAGAATTTAGTCATTTGACAGGCTCAGTACTCTAAAAAAAGTCCTCCAGAAAAACTATTTTCATTTGTCAGGCTACACTGCTACAGCAACAAGCAAAATTGCCGCATTTGGGCTTCAGGAAATTTTAGAGCGATTATTGAAAGCCTTGGTTACAGTATGGTACGGTATGTGGTCTAGAGGCCATCTTTTTTCGAAGATGGTGCTGAATATATGACATTTGCCAGGTAGCATTTTTCATTAATAATTGCCAAACTTTGTAATACAATATAAAAATATGTCATCTTCATCTAAATTTCTTGTCTTATTTTGTTTTAGAAAATTCTTGTTCAAAACTAAGTTAGTGTGTATGTAGGTAGAGTTTCAAAATAAAACCAACATAGTAACCAAATATCGAATGTAATGAAATGGTTAGAGTTGGCTCGCCAGTCGCCGCGGGCCGGTGGTGTAGAATCAAAGCATTCGATTCATTACGTCCATGTAATCAGCTCCTCCATTACCCGCTTCATTTGCCCGCCTAATGGATAGACCAGAACGTTCTGTACTTTTCATGGGTTTCTATATGGTTTTTGTGAAGCTGTAAACAAACATTTCAGTGTGGTATTGTTTGTATGTTCGTAGCCAGGTATTAGGTCATTAAACTTCACAAACTATTAAGCAAATGACCTCCGTAATGTGGATACGGCGAAGTGTTTTCATTTGTACCGGTCATGTATCGGCCTACTGATTTTGTTGCTTATATAGTCATAAACGTAATTGCTGGGTTTGTTTGTGGAATTATTTTTACGTCTTATCGAATACGTGTTGCGGGTTTAAACAATAATATGGAGAAAATGTGTCGTGGTTTACTAGTCAGTAGGAGTTTGGTAATCTTTCTCGTTCCACCCAGGGCGAGTACACAATTGATCATTGACACTCGCTACACCAGTGACATGGCAATACCTATTTATAAAAGAGTGTAATAACCAGTCACGGACTACATATGTGCTATATATACATCTCTTGGTATCATATTTAATTTTATCTACAATGATTTTCAATGGAAATTGTTTTATTGACAATGTTCAGTATCTTCAAAGCAAGTGTTGATGTAATTTTACAGTTCAAGAACAATAACTAGGAGTGTAAGAGCTACTTCATGATGTAACATAGACTAGCCCATTAGACTAGAAATTAAGAGGTTCATCATTACGTTTCAGACGCAAAGTCTGCAGGTAAGAGGGCGCCACTTGAGTGCCTCTACATTAAGCCAATTAATGATTTTGCTCTGTTAATATTTCATTCATTTGTTTGCAAAGTTAACCTCTCAAGGAGTGTTAAGTTTTAATGTCTGGAAACCATTTCACAGCAAAGGTTTTACTGAAATTTTGTGTGAATGGATGTTTGGATAGAAGAGCAAAACCGTGTACAAGATTATAAATGTGTTCCCTGGGTTAATGTTAATCATCATCCGATTTACAGATCACAAAAAAGCCAATCTAAATAATAAACAATTTACAAAAAAAACATACCCATATACATTATACATGTAGATACATGTATGCATAGAGTGACCAGTATCCCCTATTCAGGTCGAATCGAGTCCAGACGGGGACACAGTGAGGCATGTTCATTAACGCGTTCTGTGCTTGACAAACATGTCCGGCGAGGCTTGCAAGCCATTCATTACCCGGAACCGTGATCACCGGGTGACGTCACAGGCACGGGACTACTATTCCTGTTTACCTGTGTAGGGATTGTAGTTGATGTGTGTGATGAATGGCTGCTGAGATTGTGGTGCCGTGTTAATTAAGCGTGTGTAATGTTATAGGATTTGAGTAAGTACGACTGTCCATTACTCAGTTCAGATTGATAGATTTATAGGTTTCAAGTTGATCATATAAGGCATTTATTTACATATTTGTTCACTTGTTTCCTTTTTATTTTCGTTACACATATTATTTGTGAAGAGTGTGACATCAATTCTTTGTCGCGAATGGGCCGGCACGACTGAATGATTACTTGTGAGATCCACATTGTTGCTTCGAGTCTGGGTGCGGTGTGGCATATGAATGTGAAAATTTATGTTTGTAAACGAACCTCCTACGACACAAGAGAAAATGCTAAAGCTTCAATGGCATTTGAAAAAACTTCTTTTTTAATCCTACTACTCCTTTGCGGACCTTACCTATAAAAAATATATAGTGATTGCAGTACAGTGTGCTACTTTTTTACATAATCGCGGAGCAGACTTTGATTGTGCAAATTATATACATTAGTAAAAATGTTACCAAACTGAAGAAGATGAATTTGAAGCCATCGTACTTACTCACAGTGTAGTAATAGTCCTGCACCCTCGTGTCGGCTATACCGGACCAAACGACTGGTCGCGTAATAACCGGCACGCGTGCTAGGAAACGCTCGTTTCCGTGTTTGTACAACTCTTTACACAACGTTTGAAAATAAAACGGTTTGATGAATTCCAATGGAATAGCTAACTATTTAATCCACTTTAAAATCTTAGGTACATAGAACACCCCGTATGTTTTAATTTCGTGTGTGTGCGAAAGAATTGTGTGATCTACAAATTGTTCCGGGGTCGGGTACCTAATCTTTGATTAATATGTTGTATAAATGTGGACCGACGAAATCTTCAGAGACGTTCGGAGCTAAAAGATGTGAGTGGCGAGTAGTCGCTCTACGTGGAGAGATAAGGGGGTGACCTTTGCACAGTAGTGGACATTTTCTGAATGATGACGATTATGATGAAAGTAGTGGAGTAAACGTTTTTTTCTTTACAAAGAAGAATCTATTTCAACTAGGTATATTTTGCGTACCCAAGCACAATCCATCTTCGCGTCCGTTAACTGTTCCCGCTGATTCAATGGTTGTCAGATTCGACGTGACGATTGGATGGTCATCCCCATTCAAATCGACTGCAATCGTCCGCAGCGCCTGCCGATACATTTGTCAATGGTATTGCTGTATAACCATTGAAGCCACCGTTTTAATTGCTCCTGCAATACTCAATAAAAAGAAATAAACAAGTATCTGTCGGGACTTTTGTTGCATACTTAGAAGTTATAAAATGAAGGGTCGTCGTTATTAAGTTCATCTCCTTAAATAGCTCTGATCTGAAAGCAATATTGTGCTTTTTTGGTTTATTTATTGTAAAATACATTATGTCTAGGTGTGGGCGCGCCGGCAGTCTTGCAGCGACTCCAGGAGAGAAACTCCTGGAACTACTCCGACCGAGCGTGGGCACTCCGCGGCGACACTCCACCGCAGCGTGTGCGCCTGCGCAACCACAGAGGCCAGCAGGCTTTGTCTACTGCCCCTCGGACGCACTGCCATACTGTCCACCATCCAGAATTGCGCCTCCGCGGCCTATTATGAAGGTATGATATTCACTGTACATGTACTCTTAAGGTAACTCAAAGAAAAAGTTAGTCATAACATTTTGTAATTTTTTGCGGTGTCAGCTCCAGCCACCACCGCAACAGATCCAGCCAGTCCAGCCACAGCCGCCGCCCGTGCCGCAGCGTACAACCGCAACAGTAGCGCCCACGCCCCTGCCAGTGCCGCCGCCCGCGCCGCCGCGCCGCTCCTCTCCGCAACCACCGCGGCGTGTACCACCTCCCACGCCGCCACGACCCCCTACCACGACACCTGCACCTCCACAAACAGACCCCAATGGAAACAGAAGAACTGTTGCCCCCGTGCAACCACAACCACGACTTGACTGCAATAGAAATCCCCAGCCACTCTCCGCTAGAAGAGCACCTCCTCCTCAAAGAATCCCAGACGCTGCGACTTTTACTCCTGCACCACTTCCTCCTCAGAATACTGTCCAGCCAATAAAGCGGTCACCAAGCTCAGGGTCAAATATTAGCGTCCGACAGGACTCAAACGTGTCTTCAGACTCGTTTAGTCAAACTTCTTCACCGTCGTACACGACAAAGACAATGGAGGCCCCTCTACTGCCTCACCAGCATGTGAACAAGAGCCTCAACGCTAAGATAGCGCGCGGCTTGCTACTGAAGGAGCAGCAGGACAGGGACTCCGGGAACGGGTCCATCACCAAGAGCATGTCCACGCCAGCGTCACTACAGACCATCGTCCGATTCCAGAATGGTAGCAACATGTCCCTGCATCATCGGGTGAGTCAACAACATTCATTTGTTATCAAATATAATTTTAACGACATTTTAGTCAAACGTAAGCCCAACGTATTAATTACTTAAAAATAAAGCAAAATATGAAAGTAAACGAGTAACGTTTCGTACATAGGCGCAGTGAATTCAGTCAGTTCAGTCAGTTAGTATTTTCCACTTCACATTCCGTTCCCACGACCCGAAAATGGCAACAAAAACGCCTTTTCCACAACATTTTTATAGTCGGAGTTGCTGTACAAATCTGTACGTTCAACAAAATACCGTAAAACTAAGTAGTAACAGTATTTTTCTGCACAAGTGTATGACACATACGGCCAGTGTGAAATTAAGTGTCGCTCGCAAGCGGCCGCCGCTGTGTAATTAAAATATTGCGCCGCATTAAGCTTGACTGTGTTTACGGTTAAAACTGTTACTTGTTGAGGTCCAAGGCATAAAAAATGTTGCGCGTTTGGTAAGAAAATAATGTCACTGATGAGAAAACCATCGAGAATTAGACTGCAACGATTGAAAAACACGTTAGAAAAGTAGATTCTGCATAATGAACATTATAATATAAATAACAGTAATGTAACATTATTTTGTGGGTTTTTGTCAATATTTTAGAAAATTAGACTGATATTTTAGAAAGTTATTTGTTAAAAAACTTAATTGTAATTCCTATTTTTATAGCATGAACAACATCAAAATCCCTTCTCTCCTAGTGCACGATCCATTGAAAAGCGCTGCACTATCGAGTTGAGCTTACACGGGAATTGTATCGAAAAGTTTCGATTTCCAGATTAGGGTGGCACCGGTATTGTGTGGCGAGATGAGATACGTGCACGTATTATATCTTCAACCCTCTTGAAATTGTAGGATGAAGAATAAGAATGTTAGAAGAAACTGGAGTTAATTTTTCTTACTTAAACTTAAACAAACAACCATATTAAATTGCACAACACAAATTCAAAGTACTTAGTTAACATAATCCACACCTGTACAATATATCTCAAGAACGTTTTAATAAGTTAAAATCGATTTCCAATCATTTGGAGGGTTTAGTCTTAATCGGATTATATCAAATAAATCGAGACAACTGATTGCTATATCGATAGGCTCGAGACACTTGACATAGATCGATTGTTTATTACAAAACCAGCCACTTCTCTTGTTTAAAATTCTCTGAGAAATAACAATTTAGAGCTACGCCGCGCCGGTGCTGGACTTGTACCTAAGTTTATTTATTGGGTTTATGTTTACTGATTTGTGTGTGCTATCTATTGTTCAGTAAATGCCAAGTTTTCTACCGTAACAGCCAGAGAGCGTATTGAACGTATGAATGCCTCTATTAAGGTAACGGTAGACTAAGCGTATGAACATTTGGCTACGCAATTTACTAGCAAAGTAAGTTATTAAACAAACTCCTTATAAATTTCACGAACATCTTCAGGCGTAAAATCTTCTGTAATATTCTTTAATAAAATGTCTAAAGTCGGTCCTTTTAAGTTTTCTACACACAATCTTGAAGTTTGTAATCAGTGTTCGCCATATCCGTATAGCGAGCTCGCCCGGCGCCGGCGAGTAGGAAGGAGAGCGCGGCCCGGGCCACATATTACTGTTTACATATCTCAAGATTGCGTCCCGTCCGACGTATAACTTGGAGTAACTCTGTATTGTGCAGGAATCTTGTTGGAAGTTGTACCTTTATATTTCACTTCTCTAAACATGATCCCACAGTTCGCGTTTTGTGTTCGATATGTTTTGATTGGGACGCAGCCTGCGGGCTATCATATTAGCTTCAGCGCGCATCGCTTCTTGCTCAGATGCATACGACCTGACGGATGTAGGTCAGCCTTCCGAACGTGGCTTTCATACTAATATTCTGCCATAACTGTTCATTCAGTCAGCTTTGATGGAGTCCTTTTGTGCCTATATCTTGTTTTCAAAATTTATTTTTCTTTAGTATTTACTATATTATTTGTGAACTATATTAATGTGGCCTTATCTAAATAACAAAAACTATAGTATATAGTTAGGTACAATCTATTACAGTTGATCTTGACATTATATATCCAAGATCAAAATTTTGATACAAGGAGTTATTTCAAACGTGGCTACTCTGAAGAGATTACGTAACAATGATATCTCAGTGGAGTCGACAGAGCACAGTATTGAATATGAAACAATTGCCGGCCGCCGGAGTCGCCCCATTCATGCCGCTACTGCAGCTGGAGATAACCCCTTCCTGGTTAGAATGGCTAACAAGTCACGAACCAATGCTGTTAGCCGACCACGAGGAAATAATCGCGTTGTTCCAAGCTCTATACATGACCTAAATGAGTATGCAATATGTTGGGCTAGGTCCGGGGCAAACTAAACACTGCTCTGATTTTGATTGTTATTGTTGCAATCATCGGGTAAACTAGCAAACATTTCAAACAGTTACTGCAGCATTATAATTGCGTATACTATGTAGGTAGATACTATATTCTTATTTCTGGGAGCATTTCGTTTGAAAATATTGTGACATCAGCAGTGTGATTCTTTTCAGATTCGAAGAAACTTCGAATCTGAATCCGCTGTGAGTAGTAGTACACTAGTGCTACACTTACGAGTTGAACTAAATTGGCCGCAATATTTTGATAGATAAAGTATGAGACGACGTTAAAAGTGGCATTCTAAAATTTAATTTCCCCGTCACTTCGACGCTCACTTCGCACTCGAACACGATTCAAAATCAAACAATTTTATAGAATCGAGTTACAGCTTTACAGTCCTTTTGATGATCTTATCTATACATTAGGGATAAAGAAATGTAATGTAACAAACATACTGTCATCCAAAGCGTTGATGGGGATAGCTAACTGTAATTTTGCTATCCTGAAAAAGGATTTGGCGCATGTTGCCATACTTTATTAAAGTTTGTTTAAATAATTATAATACTGATGCTATAAGTACCTATGTAACAATTGATTCTTTATATTACATTAATGTGTGTAACTTTGTGAATCAGATGCTCCGTGACATGCGAGGGGCGAGCACGGACGCCAACCCCCACAAGTTCAGACTGATGCAGCTGGCGCTCAACGCCGTCGCGCTGCTCGCCATCACCGGCGCACTATTCGCTTATTTCAGAGCCAATCCTGCCGTACAGGTGAGTCCAGTGTATTTTGTCAATTTTATAATTCTATCCAATGCACTGAACAAAAAAAGTTAAAAGGGTACCTCCAATTTAGAATTAATCAGCAATTCTTTTAGCTTCGTTTGTTCAGGTTTCGTTGCTTTGAATACCACCACCAATAATAACCGTGGACCAACAAACAGCTCCTTTCAGAACCAGTTTTGTGTAGCAATACAATTCACAACAATTCGTGGAAATTAGGGAAACACAGCAACAAAACGAAACTCGGTTTTCTTTGCATTGGCTTCATCTTGCTTAAATGAAAAGAGAGCAATATTTTTCTTACTCACTCTTTTAAAGTGTTCAATATCAAGTAAACACAGGAAGATATTTCTTACTGTTTAAAAATCAACAAAATGGAAAAACTCAATTACAGGAGCACTTGCATAGAGCGGAGGCCTCCGCCGCCACAAAAACGTTGGAAAGGCAAAGCTTTGCTAACAAAACAATTATTGTGCTCGTTGCTCAAAGTCGGGCTTCAGGCTTTGGCCAACAATTCCGTCTTACCTGGCGTCTTTGTCTGTTTTGTGAGAGTTACAACAATGCCCACATTGTGAAGGACGCGTTGTTGTGGAGACATATTGTTTTTTGGCTACTAAAATGTTGTACAAGATTTTCTAGGAAAAAAGTATTCGACACAGTAGTAATTGAAAGTTGGGGAACTTCAAGATAAACCAAGAGACACAACAAGACAACACTGAACAGTGTTTGGTTATGTTAAACCTCCAGCTAAATTATTTTTTGTCCACAGTACGTGTCACAAGTAGTGAATAGATCAACAGTGGTAACGTGGCCAGCGCCCACCGATCCGCCGGGTGCCAGAAACCCGGCACCAGGGGTGTGTCTCCCTGTGATAGTAAACTTTTGTCAGCAACACAGGATACCATACAACTTCACCGTATTTCCAAACTACATCGGACATTTTGGGCAAAGAGATGCCCAACAGGTAAGCTATCATTTAGATATATATGCCTTTAGTAGCTTTTGGACAAACAAATATTAACTACCTATGTATTAATCAGTACTTGACATATATATTCGTTGATAGTTCGGGGTTTAATTTTCCGATAGCCAAGAAAAGGTATATCCATAAAAGGGACGGCTAGGTTAGCTTAGGAGCTCATTACGAGTTCATACTTACACGATTCTCTGAACTTGTTTTTAAGTCAATAGACAAGTCAAACGCTTCGATACATCAAGTTTGAAATTGGACGAGTTTCGTTTGCTAGTCATATTAGTTTAATTACCGTACGAACAAACAGAGCCGGGAAATTGAGTTTGCTAAGTGATGAGTGATTCTCGGTTTGTAAATATAACTAGGTAGCTACTGTTTTTAATTAATTTCGTTGGAGACAAGGTCCCTGATTTTGTTAGTTTGTTTATTTCTTACTTAATTGTTAATAATTTGTTCGAAGACAAAATGAGAAGGTATTTAATATTTAATATTCGATGTGTACATTAAGATTTCCAGGGTGGATGTAATGAATAATAATAGTGTTTGTTGCTGATTGCTCAGTGATTAATGTTTCCAGTGACCTTACATTTTGGCCGCCTAAGCGGAGTTGCCAACTGGTTCGCCTGAGTGTTAAAGACTTTGATTTTACTCAACGTTTGATAACTTACTTGCGTGGCTTTTTATATGACTTTTTGTATTTTTCTGTTTGACACATCTAATCTTTTTCTGTCGTTCTGTTGGTCGTCTAAGTAACGTTATCAACAAACATAACATTTAATTAGTCAAATGAACTTCGAGGAAGTTAACAATGCTGAATCACGAGGTTTCTGAGGGATTCTAAGGTCTAAAGACGTTTCCAGCCCATTGCTGGGAAATAAGTTTAATTGCCCGAATCCAAGGTGAATCGTTAAAATGCCATTAACAGGCTTAAACAGACACTTGGCAGGTCCCGGCGGCTCGTTAATTAGCCGACCTGTAATGTTTCAAAGTGTTGTGGCGGAATTTAAAATTCTGCTTGATCAACTAAATTTTATATTTACTTGAATGGTACATTTATTTACATTTCGTGTGTTCGTAAACCATAGAAGAATTATTGCAACCGCGTCTTTCGGTTAGAGTATTACTTTTCAAACAAGAAAAATGATGGAGTGGATCTACACAACATTATTTTTCCATCCCGCTATGGATACATCTTTTTATACAAACAGACGCGGCATTGTGTCAGTTCAATATTTGTTCTCGTTCACTGTTACTCCCACGGATCGGTATCTAAGTCTATGCAGCGAAGTTTCTTCTAAATCCTCTTAGCGAAAATTAATTGATCGAAAACCTACTAGGCGCAGATCAAAGAGCTTATAGGCCAATTAATTTGTGTGCTCGTCGGTCGCCGCCCGCACTAATCTGTCCTCCAAGTGTCAGGGCACGCTTTCCGTGGCTCTGAAGTAATTATTTCATACGAATATTGGAATATTTTTACAGAACGCACGGGTGGAATAATTTATCACGGCTCCTGCCTACATTCTAAGGTTTAGAAAATGTAGGATTTTAGTTGTAGTATTACAGTATCTTGCTGATAAATAAAGTCCAAACCATTTATGTATTTGAATAAAACTGCGAACATTGTTTAAATTGTTACCCATTGCGAAGTGCGGCAATGCGCCTACTGAAAACAATGAGCACAATATGTTTTAGATTTTTCTGTAAAAAGCTTATTTATTGATTTTACATTACCCTAAACAACGATACGGGAACATTATCAAGGATTGTGTGTCGGCCGGAGCGCGCCCGTCGCCCGTCGTCGCGACCACAACAGCAAATGACGCGGCGACATCAATAACCATTACCAGAACCCTTTCGCGCGCGAATCAATCATTGTCGCGGAAACAATGCGCGCCCGACAAGTAAAATATCAGCATTCCACTCTAAAGGCCATTTTTAACGAGCAATGTTTATTAAAACGTTGCTTAGCGTCGACCTTGGCCTCCACGGTATTGTTTGCTTATTACAGGGCAAATAGGTTTTTATCTTATCTGGAAAAGTGGACGCTGAGTAAAATTTATAGGTAAAGTCAAGTGAAGGAATGTAAAGTTTAGGTTACCTACTAATTATGTAGGTTCTTTGGTAGTTATTATATTGACAGGTTATAACAGACAGCCCTGACATAACCTAGTTGGACGAAGTAAAGAAACCTTTAAACTGTGTATTAATTAGACGTTTACATTAAAAGAACGCGAAAAGTCCCCGCGGCCCCGAAAAAGCGCCAGCTTTCAATTTGTGTCTTATAAATATTTTGAATTCAATAACATTTTCATTGTAAGAACATATAAAAAAATGTTAATTATAATTTACAATGAGTTCCTTCGTTAGTATCTGAATGTTATTAAAGGAATTTTACAAGTTACCGTAGGTAGCCGTGTACTCTTGATGTATTCAATTTCATAGTAAAAATATTGAAAGATTAGTCTTTAAGAAGGTTCGGAGACAGCCGCGGCTTGATGTATGTAGGCGTTGTATTTTATCTCACAATACTCGCCGACTCGGTACTGCGCACAAATGCTTGCAAACAGATTATTATAAGCTCTCTTGTATGTGGGCTATTGTTGCCTCACCGTTACAACACAATACTGTTTTAACAAAATACCTGTTTTATGTTACGAACGCTAAACTTAGGATAAAATGTTTTCTCTTTATCTTTCTCTGAATTAAACCTGTATGATGTTGTTGTTACAATTTCATGTTTAAATCGATCCGATTATAGACAACCACTAGACAACTAGGTATATCATGAATACGAGATTGAAAGTAAAACTTGTAGTTTCAAGAAATGGCAAACAAGCGATAAGTAATTGAGAGAATTATCTGTGTAGGCAGACAGACAAAATGGTAGAAAACGTATTGCAAGTATCAAGCAAGAAATCAAGCAAATCTGAACAAAATTCTGATATCTACATCTTTTTTGAGGCTTAGCTGGGATGTCTATAAGCAAGCATTAATTACTTACTTTTTCTACCAGGATCTGGAGGTATACGAAGCAGTAGTGGACGTTCGATGTTACGACCTGACCGCACTGTTCCTGTGCTCACTGTTTGTGCCTAAATGTGGGCCTCTGGGTCACATGGTGCGCCCTTGCAGAAGCCTGTGTCATGGTGAGATATTATTTCATAAATACAATTTCAATTTGATAGGTGAAACCTAATGGTTAAAGAACTCATCAAACTGACTTAAGCTGGCAACTAGATTTTAAACCTTGTTACAAAATATTTGATTTTAAAATCCAAAAAATAATATGTTATTATTCTTGGAATATCAATATACAATTTGAATGACGTGATGTGTTGACACAGAAACGATGCGTCGCTGCGGCTTCTTCCTGGAAGTGTTTGGCCTGACAATGCCGGACTACCTCCAGTGCGACATATTCCCCGAGTCCACTGACACAGATGTCTGTCTCGGCAACAGGGAAGTTAGCGATGCTCGCTTCAGAGACGCCATGCCAGGTAACTCAATTAGCATATTATTGAAACTATGCAATTAATATTGTAAAATGCCTCGTCACAACTAAGCGTAATTTCTTAATGAACAGTAAGGTAACAACCTTATATTATCTCCGATATCTTCATAAGTTAGAGATCACGACCTTTATAAATAAGCTGTTTTCGTTGCGATCTAATTAACATTACCACACCGCTCTGAACATATTGCGCCCACGTGAGAACCTTATCTCATTACAGATTAATAATATAGCACAAGAATCCGATGTCAAATGTCACATCCAATTATTTTCCGAGTATTACACCAGCTTGGAATCATCTCTTGGAATTTCGAGAGTCAAATAATAGGATTTAAGTACGCTGAGCCTAAGGTTCATTAATGATGTTGTTAAAATTTGTATGTAGAAATGGGTTCGTTTATTTTATGAAGATATTTTCGCCTCTCTTTGTCATTGAGATGAATGTACGCTACATGTTCTTTGGTTTTCGACACAATTCCAACAATAGTATGAGTGAGAATTGTCAGCAGTTTGTCCCACTGGGTTCCAATGCGACGTGCGACGTTGTATCCCGCACGACTGGCGGTGCGACGGGCACGTGGACTGCGCGGATCGGTCGGATGAGCTCAACTGCCGCGTGTGCAAGCGCAGCGGGGAGGTGCACTGCGGGAACCAGCGCTGCATCTCACAGGCACATCTCTGTGATGGCAAGGTCGACTGTCCATGGGGGCAGGATGAGAGAAACTGCTGTAAGTAGTTGCGTTTGTTTATATCAAAAATGTGCCAGTGTTTTAAATGTGGTAGAAACTTAGTATTCCAAGAAACATTTACTTGGTTCTGTGCCAAAGTTATGTTCAAGTAACTTCTAAGCTATATATATATTTCTAAGCAGGCTAAAGATACTTGCGTGCTGTAAATAAAGTAGTTACTGTTATTCAGTATGACCATTATGTCTGACAGTACGACTAAGTCAAGCGAACGGTGACGTGGGTCGTGGAGAGCTTCAAGTGTATCGCGCAGCCAACCACTCCTGGTTCCCAGCCTGCATCACAACGCTGGATGATGACACCGCTCTCAAGCTCTGCTCCATTCTTGGATACTCGTAAGTTCTTCAATTTTAATTTTCAGCAATCTGATTGACTTGTAGTTGATAGTTTTCAGTACAGTCAATTAAATGTAAATTTGTTAGACTTTACATATAGTTTTCACTGCTGCTGGTAGGCGTAATGGGTGGGCAACTGACCGCGGCTTGTATCTCGTGCCCAATACAAAACATATACAATTAAATAGAATTGTACACAAATTCTGAACAAAAAGTTGAATAACCCGTTACATTAGAAAATCACTTTTGCTCAGACACCTGAAGAATTTTGCATACAACATTGAATGCTCGCATCCCATCGGTAATCGCTGCAATTGGTTAAATTAAAAGCACTTATCCCGCGTGCTGGAGCTCGGACTTTAGCTGCGGAATTTATTTCATTAGTTTACGCTGCATACAGAGAATTGTTGTGGTTTACTGTAAGCTGTAATGGATTCATATTATGTTATTGTAGATGTTAAGTTAATTCATGGGTGCGTTTGTGTTGGTATCACATATATGTATAATATGCTAAAAAGTATACCAAAAAGAGAAATGTGCCGATATCATGCAGATAGTCTATTTTTTGTCTAATCATGGTTTTGATGATCAGCCAAAGTATTATTGGATCAACCCTCTTTCCAACGTTGTGTTAACAGCATTACAATTTAACAGGTTCTTAAACAAAAGCCAAGCGGTGATCAACGAGTCCCGTCCAGAAGTAAACAGCATAAAGGCGGCAGTGAACGTGAGTGCTACACCGGGCCCTCGCGCCAGCTTCGTGCATGAGCACGGCGCTGCGCAGACATACCGCGCCTTCCTCAGGAGTCAGGGAGGACTGCTAAAAGAACTCAAAGAGTGTCGGCATGACTCGCCAAGAGTGCATCTTGTTTGCGACAGATATGGTACGTAATTTGAACCTTTTATAGATTTTATTTTCGATTTTGACTTTAATCACTTTGAACCTGGTTCTCTGACTTTGCGACGTCGTTTCTTCTGCAATGGTGACAGGAGAAATCGAAAACGTCGAAGTATTTAAAAATTAACTGTAGACGTAAAAGCAAAAATGACAAATTGCAATTTTGTAAAACTAGGAACATCCGATTTCCAACACTATTTGGTAAATAATAGCGACATCGAAATCCCTAATTCGATTCGTGGGAGTAGATACGATGACAGCTGGCAATTTGGCTAATAGCGGAACGTCGCGCAGCTGAGTCAGTGTTGCATGTGATCCTGTTACACTTCGCACGGACTTGATCACGAGAATTCTGCATCTTTGGACGTTTAATTTTACGAAGATACGAATTACCCAATGCGTAAAACGTGTAATATGTATGAAAATCGTAACTGTAGATTCTTTCTTGACACCCCTAATTATCGATTAGATTATTTTTTTTTTTGATTCAATCAATCTTATATACAATTCTTATATAAAAACTTGAGTTAAAAAGAATTCTAGCGAAAATGTGAACAAGATTTTCTTTTCCTCTATATGTATCTCCTAACTGTAAATCAGTGTTCCATTTTATTTTCTTTGTGTGTTATTTCAACGTAAGTGGCGAGGCGTTTGACATCCGTTGATTGTACGTACGCACTCCCGTAGGCTGGGAGTGGATCCAATCTTGTCAGTTCAGAAGGGTGAATCAACTTTTGTTTTATAAGAGCTTTGTCAACTGTAAGTACTGAGAGGTGCGTCAGGCTTTTAAATCGTTAGAACGGGCACTGCGACATGCGGGTATGTACTGTCTGAATGTATAGGGATAATAAAACCCGGTCTATTGATGAGATCTTTTCGAGTCGCTAGAAGGTGTTTTTAGAAATCAATAGTTATGTATTATTGGAAACCTTGTGCATGTGGATTAGTAGATACGCACCAGTTATTGAAGGGGCTACATTTTCATAACTTTTCATTAAAATTTTCCTAAATTGTAGAGTAGAAACAAACTCGAAGCGTTTGTATCCACTCACAATCTAACCACAAAAAACGAAATAAGTAGCAAATGATTGCCTCAAATCGATTGAAGCACAATCGCGAATTCGGTAATGTATTACAATTCCTCAATAAGGCGCGGTTGTTACGCTTCATTCTCATAAATAGCTTTTATATTTCAATCGAAATATTGTAACAGGGGCAGCCATTACACGGGCTGATAAGTGTTGCCTCGCACCCCATGTTTACTGGCGACGCACGCGCGACGCTGTCTCGGGCCCGCGGCGAACCTATTCAGTTAATTATTATATTGGTACGGAGAGATAATAACCGGATCAAATAATGCAGTGTTGTAATATTATAGTTTTCCAAATACGATTTGTGTAAGTTAGCTGTAGGTAGAAACATTTTGCTAAACGCTTCACTGCTGGACAATTATAAAGCAAAAAATAGTTTGCTGTTTTATAATCATAAAAGAGTTTATATTATGTATTGGCCGATAAGATTCACAATATTCAAGATGAATTTTCTTTGAATATAGGCAAATATATGAAGTCGTACAAAGAGTAACAATGAAGATTCCAATGCGAACCCAGCGAAGGTCGCCGGTCGTCTACTCGACATAACAAAATGAAATGTAATTTGCCAAGACAAATGGCTTTTAATTATAAAATATGTCATAGCAGAGGAGTGTAAAAATGTATTAAAGGTTTTGTTCGCAATTATGTAAAACGAATTACGGAGCGCTAAGCCTACTCGACTTATTGATAAACTTGATGAGATTCTTATCTCTTTTCCGGGACTGACTTTCCTGTTGCTCAAGCTGATATATAAATAATTACAATGAACAATTCGCTGTTAGTGGCAGAGTGAAGAAATGTAGGAATCTATTGTAACTTCGGCGTAAAATATATAAACGGAGGAGCAAAGGAATTGTTATACAGTATGCACTGAAACCTAAATATGTACAGAGTTGACATTTAAAAGTTTATGTGAAAACTGAACACAATTTTTCTATCTACCAATACCAGCATTAGCACCAGAAGTTTTGGCCCAAAGCAAGAATAACATACTTAGTAATAATTAATTGATGATGTCATGTTTAAAAATCCCAAAAAATATGTTGATGAACCGCGATCGCGAGATAACTAACGCAGGGTTTTATTACTGTAAAACACGTTTATTTTTAGAAGAGCTTATTTTCGTACAACATTGATATAACTTTTATTGACTTATTATGTATTAAACATAGAAGTAACATGTTATGTTCTCTTAAGTAGAGAAGGTCCGTATAGTCCAACAGTGAACTGTAAGATAAGTTTAGACAGTCTTATATTTTTTGCTTAAAATATTCTTACTTCTAAGGGTAATCTAATCGTAATTCTTAAACTTCTAATCGTAATTATATACGATATTATGAAAACAATATAAATTAATTGCAATTAATATGGTGTTGTGACTATTCACAACGCTGATTATTGCTTACCGTCAGGGGCGCGTCAGTTCATTTGCCACCAATTTGAGTGTTACAATAATACAGTTAGATTCATTCTTGATTAAAGTTGGCCTGCTTGGAAAAAGCTGCCCTGCATATATATTTTTGTGATAATCTCTCTGTGAACAAAACAGTAACGTAGTGTTTTAGGCTTCAAAGAGTATCCATTAGTGTTTAATAATGTTTGAAACACTCAATATGAAATAAAACTAACAACTAAACGAGACCTAATATTCCTGAATACATTAGTGAAACTATTTCATTTGGGTCCTTTATTCAATTTACCTAGTATTTGACAAGTTTTATGAACTTCAAACCGCTTTTGTTTGTGTTTGGGAAACCGCAAATAACGCTTACAACTATGTCTAGTTTAGGTTAAATTGTATGTTTTGAACTGACCAGGACTTCGTAGGTATAAGAAGTTGTTTAATGTAATGACTAATGTTCAAGAAAAAACGCGCATTAGAAAATATTTAATTGGTTTTAAATGAAAACACGTTTCTCTTCTTGATCTAAGAATCCTATAACATCAAATATATTTATTATTTATTCACAAAAACCAGAAATCGTCTTATAAAAGGACTTTGAAGTCCCTGTGTGACGACTTTATGAAGAAAATAAGAAACATAATCATGCCTATTGGTTTATTCAGTATGTCTGAAGGACGGAAGTGTAGGCGTGCCTTTAATACTCTGAAGAGATGTAGCACTGCCAATATGGAAATGAATAAACGTAATCAGATACATGTATGTAACACTGATCTTTTTACAAGGCGTTCGAAAGAAATTATATTAGACGATACAAGATTACTTAGATACTATAAAGATACGGTGGAAATCAATTCACAGTTTTTGTTTATATGAAGCATCTTGCGATGATCTTAGTAAAAAAATGTGCAAAAGAATTATCGATCGCGCGTAACTTCGGGTACTTACGCAACGACGCGGCGGGCCGTCGACCGGGCTTTGCCACAATGTTACTTGAAGGTTTGACCGCTTGCCTGCCACCACACGACTAGCACTCACGACCGACTTCCAAGACCTACTTAAAAGAGACAAGTGGTATAACTTTTTTCGGACTAAAATAGGTTTTTTTCAAGTTTGCAGGTTCGTAGTGAATATGGAAATGATACATTAAACAACGAATTCATGTAGCTTTGATGAAAAATATACAATGTCCCCGAATCTTTTTTTCGGCAAACTATCACACGGATTACCTGATGGTAATTAATCGGCTCCACCTATGGACAATCCCAACGGAGTTATGAGTACGTTGCTGGTATTTTGGGGATTAAGGTTATGGACATTTAGGGATTGAATAGAGATGGTGAGAAAGGGAAGAATTAGGATACCGATAACCTCACAGTATGACATAAATGCATTTTTAGATAAAAACACATTTTTACCTTCTCCTTAAATAAATATAAAGTCTTAGAAAGCTATACAAATGCAAGAAAATAGAGCCATGAACGAACGGCTTCAGTGCACCTGCAATGAACCTCGACATCAAAGAAATTCTTAAGTAAGAGCAATACTGCACTACTCGCCCACTTGACCTAGGTCTACTTATTTACGTACTTTATATAGACGTTTCTTTCAACGCAAGAAAATGTTTTTAGGTCAATCCTCTTCAGTCTCTACAGTCTATAAATGACACGGTTGCCATGGCAACAAGTAACAAACTCATAACTTAATACCTACCTATCAGAATATTAATAAAATCTGGATAATCGAATGCTTAGATAACTTTAAATGAATTTAATTAGTCTGCAACTAAAATAATTGGAAAACTAATATTGTGAAAAGCGGTTTGAAATGTAATTACGTTAAAAAAGTTTACTGACGATTGGATAATTGTTAAGTTTAGTAGAACTGCTTAGTTTACAGAGGCGCGGGTAAGTTACTGTTATATCAATAAGAAACTTTAAGAATCTGCCTTTATTTAAATTTATATCTAAATACTAATTAATTAACCAAAATAACAAGTCTGTAATATCTTTTCTTGACGTATGGTGTTTCAAAATAAGACGCATAATCCATTTTAAAAAGAAAACATTTTACGTAACTGCCTCCTATTATTTTTATCCTCGCAAGGTTTTATGTAAACTGTTCATTAATTCACATTATCCATTTTTAGCGCTGACAATTTAATTTAATTTTAAACTGATGAAACACTAAAGACCCGCACATCATAGCTTTTCAGTACCCATAAATATTACTTAGCATTAAATAAAATTGCCATTTAAATGTAAAGCAGTAAGGTTGAATTTTCTCTGTGGTTTTCTGCACAGTGGTCTCATTACCTGTAACGACTGGCCATAAGTTTCGCCAATTTAATTCTATCGTCTCATCGCTCATACAGCACTTGTATTTTTACGAGAACGAAATAAAAAACGGTATTCTATACATTTCTGAATAGGGAAGTTAGCAGTTGTGTGTGTGATATGCTTGTAACTCTTTATGGATGTGATCGAAGCGAAGCCAGCTTTTACGAACACAGATTTCATTTTGTTTTGTTTTTATACAGCAAAACGAAATTACTAATCAATACACATGGTAAAATATATTCCACCATTTTTAGCATTACATTCCTCATCAAATTAATGTTGATTGAACTTTTTTAAGAAGCGTTAGAAGAAATAAATTGTTATCTTTGATAAAACAGCTAAGTAACGAGCTATGTCAGTTATTCATAGAAGGCAGGTAAACGAATTGTGTCAGTAATCATTTGTTGTCAGCTGTCTCATGTAATGAACGACGCCGAGGTTAGCAGGTGGCCGATAACTTTTGGGAATTACTACGAAAATGCTCTTGTCATTTACTTGTACTGGAGCTTATGTAATTATGTTACGTAGGCCTGTACCTGTTCTAAGTTTCAAGTTAAATTATAAAATTGTTATGTTTTGACATTGCCGCGGAGTTTGTGAGTGACAGCAACTTAATAAAGTACAAAGCAAACTGGAAATTCGAACGAAGTAGATAAAATATGTACAGCTAAAAAAAGGCGTGGGCATGCTACGAGAGCGTAGTAAAATCATAGCAAAATGCGTAGCTGAGTACTACGGCGTAGGCGATACTACGATTGCGTAGTAGTTTGCATTTAATAGATGCTACGGTAATTAGTCTCAGTTTAATAAGTTTTAAGACCTATTTCAAACTTCAGAACTAAAAAAAAATGTTACCGAAAGAAACCAGTGTAACCAAATATTAGTATTTCAGTTTTGCACAGTAAGTAGTGGAAGTCGATAGTATTTTATTGAGCACAATAAGAACTAGTTTATCTGTTGCAATATCGCGATCGAACGAGAAAAATTAAACCTCTAAGCGGTTTGTTACGTAAACCGTCGTTCATTGTTTGTTTAGACTTTCCTACTGTTTCCAATAATCCGGGTCTTATATGTATTCAGCAAGTAAGCCTTCTATTTTCGTAAAATGAAACTTTGCCATTTCTAGCTTAGGATAAATTTGGAGACACTAGGGCTGTCTTAAATAAATTAAAAGAAGCCAACTCAAGGCATCTATTCTTATCTTGCCGTGGGTGGCACGAACGCCTTAGTTAATATTCTTTGTATTTTTAGCTGACTTTGGTGGCTTAACTACAAGTTATATTCACTTTTTCTAAGTAACAAAAATGACGGTAGTTTACCAGCAGTCACGGGTTTTATATTTTATCTGTCATAGTACATTATTTACACATTGCTTTAACAGATTTTAATTAAACTCAGTATTTTAAAATGTCAACCGAAAAACATGTCACTGTAATGGAGAAACAGAAAAAATAATTAATTACAAAAGGCTAGAAACAAGAACAAACTGTTGGTAATCTGTGTTCATAATTGTGGGCGAGACACGATTGCCGAAACTTTAATTATGTTTTTGTGAGGACACGCCAGGTGCGCGCCCTTCGGTGCGAGCTACGAACGTAGAGCGGGCGATGCAACTTATGATTTTTTTTAGACCAAATAGAAGGGAATTGGAGGACTAATCGTGTTAATTATATTATATGGACAACACAATATGAAAAAGTGCAACAACAATCTTGTGCAATGCGCTATCAAAAGTCCCTAAGGGTTGTGTTGTAAGGTCAACCGCTGAATCTTATGACTTGAATCGTGGAAAAAATGTTTATCAGCGTCGCGAAAAGGGTTTACTTAAATTTCAATTTAGAAAGCCGGACGTCAAGTGGGTTGAATAGAGAAGTTCAGCTTTACAAATTTAATTTTTGCTTTTCCAGCGTTTGTGCGAACAAGCAGAAATGACAATAGAATTAATATTTGCTTTCTTACTTTGTGTTCAGGATTGTCGGCTTGGAAAAATATGCGCAAAGATATTATGGCGGACAAAATGTTTCGATGTTGCATTCCAGCTTTATTTTAAAGAATATTCTTTAAAGTAAGTACCTTTGTATTCGAAACTAAGTATACAATTGCTTTATTAGAATGCGGCAAGCGGCGTACAATGGGCGGCGGTTCGAAGCGTATCGTGGGCGGCGTCGAGGCATCTCCAGGCGATTGGCCGTTCCTGGCTGCGATCCTCGGAGGACCTGAGGAAGTGTTTTACTGCGCTGGTGTCCTGATCGCTGACCAGTGGGTACTGACGGCCGCGCATTGTGTTGGAAAGTAAGTTAAAAGAACAACATAAGTAATAATTTACATGTTATAAATTCAAAGATACACCAATACTTTTTGCTATTTTCGAATGGACACCTAACACAGTACTGTTTCCTTCTACAGTCATACTGATGTTAACGGCTGGACGATACAACTGGGTATCACGCGGCGTCGCTCGCACGCCTACTACGGGCAAAAAGTGAAGGTGAAACGTGTCGCCCCGCACCCGCAGTACAACTCCGGCATCGCGCATGACAACGACATCGCTCTGTTCCAAGTATGTTTCAATATGCATAACAATTAATCTATTTATACATTAGTACCTATGTATAAAAATCGTGGTATTTGAAATTCTGTTTAATTAATGTTACCATGAATGGAGAAATGCGCAATATATGTATATACTCTAACAATTTCGAACTAAGTGTGTGAGAGCCATGCTTCAACACGAATAGGCCCGACAGAAAACCGGCGTGAAGCCACATTCACGTTGTGTTACCGGAGGCCCAACCTTTCCTCTCATCCTCAATCTTTAAATACCCTATCTATAAATCCCTAGTGTCCAGTAATCTGTCTGCTCGTTTGCAGACCTATGACATCTTTCTTTTACATAAAAAAGAACTCGATTAAACCCAGTGTGGAAATATCTATAACGCACGATGGCAATAAAACGTTATTTATCACATAATTGCATTGTTTTATGTAGCTATCAGTGCGGGTGCGCTACCACGAGCAGGTGTCCCCCGTGTGCCTGCCGCCCGCCAGCCGCGTGCTCAAACCGGGCACGCTCTGCACCGTCATCGGATGGGGGAAACGCGATGATAAGGAGTGTAAGTCTGCTTTCTTACATATTAATCCATATTCTCTAACAAGGCCTCAAGGGTTCGTGGGTAACTGCTGCTGTAAGTAAACTTTTACCTACTGCGATAGTTAAAAAATTACTGCACGGTTGGCGCGGTGGCTGGGCAACTGTCTGCCCCGCAAAGTGTCGCGGTTACGTTTCCCGCACGGAACAACTCTTGTGTGACCCATAAATAGTTGTGGGGCTGGGGGATATATGTATGTGAAGTTGTATGTTTGTAAACGCACCCACGACGCAGGACAAATACCAGAGGGGCAACGATTTAAAAAAAAAATAATTGTTTATTTCTAAATTAAAATATGTACATAATTAAAATTTGAACTAAATACTTGTGGAGAATTTTAGGTGCCATCCTATTGCGAAGAAATTTGAATAAAGATGTTTAATTGCAGTATCAGAATACGAGCCGGCGGTGAATGAGGTAGAGGTGCCGGTCCTCAACCGAGACCTTTGCAACCAGTGGCTGGAGCATCGCGACCTGAACGTTACCGAGGGCATGATCTGTGCTGGCTACCCCGAGGGAGGCAAGGACGCTTGTCAGGTGTGTTTCAATATTAAAAACTATTGATATTTTTTTATTAGGCAGTTCGCGCTATGGTTGGATTACCAGCTGCTGCGCAACGACTCGCGAGTTCGATTCCCGCACGGAAACATTATTTGTCTGATCCATAGGTTGTTGGTCTGGGTCTAGGTAGGACCGGTATGTGAAATTCTAGTGTGGGGTTATAATTAATGCAGTGTCTGAGCGACCGCATCGCGGATCCGAATTGTATAAGAAGTTTTTTTTTTTGTAAGATCCCGAATTTTTCATCGTCAATCTGCGATCTTTGTTTTAAACGTCTTTGCTGTATTTAATACTTTTTTTAAGTTTTCACGGAGTTCGTATTAATTAACTTCTTCATACTTTATTAAATTCAATCCAGTGACTGGTAACTAACCATCTTTCGCAAACTTTGTTTTAACGCTTATTGTAATACCTGTAAAAGTGAGCTCTTGATAACTTATTGATGATTATGTTAAACGTAAATTGATAGCTTTATATCAGTTTCTCCATAGCAAAATTTACGAGGTAAGCGGTAAACAAACCATTGTAATCACATTTTCATGGTGGTTAATAAAATAATATACTACCAAAAACAGCGTTACCTAATGGGCATTTTAAAGTGATGTACGAATTAATACGTAATGTTTGTAGGTTTTACATTTTGCTATTAATACAGGACTGCCCAAAAAAAGGAGTGTTATTTACTTAGATAATTGCATAATACTATTTTAGGTGATGTACTTACAATGTAAAAATTACACTTAATACATTGGCGAAAGACCTGTGACACATTTATAGGACAAAATGTTTTACTACTAGAGAAAAAATAAAGTAAAAGAAAAATAACTTCACATTTTTTTGCTCGAGCAATTTGTCTCGAAAGTTAACGAAAAGCTCTTGACACACTAATAAAGTCCTCAAGAAAACATCGTGAAGTAATAAAACTAAAAAAATTCTAATACGGCTCCCAAGCAAATATTTGTTCAGCGAATAGGTAAATCCAATAAGTGAGTAGGTTGGTAGCTGATGACAATAAACATCTCTTCGCTAACAACCGCCCAATAAGGAGGCTCGTATTTACTCCACTCGTCCGCCCGAATTCATTGGAGTTCCTTTATGAACGGCTACACTTTAATGGTTCAGTGAAGCGTGATAATATCCCGGTCGACATTTTATGTACTTTTATAATGTTGTTCCCCGATGTTAAACCTCCGTGGCTAGCTTATGAGATATTCCGGTAGTTTTCTTACGAATATTTTATCTAAGAATTCATAACAGTTTACGAACTTCGGGGAAGGTAACAAAGACTGACCTACTTCGAGTGTCGCGGGAAGAATATGTCTATAATATGCAGTTCTTAATGATTGTACTTGATAACGTTCAGATTATATAATATGGTATAGTGTGTTAATAATTAAATTCCAAAGTCATTAATCTTTTGCAGCTTAGATATTTATAATTAAACAGCTTTTTCCTCTAACAACGTGATAAGATTCCGAGAAACAAATAAAAATAGAAGTTCACTGGAATTGCTCGCTAGCTGTAGTTAAGTGCCGACGGAGAAAAATCTTATAAAACTGTGATGAAATGCTGAATTTCTTTCTTTCTTTGAGACAAGCGTTGTTTCCTGCTGTAATCTATAATATAAAAATGAATCGCAAAATGCGTTGGTAAGCGCATAACTCAACAACGCCTAGACCAATTTTGCTAATTCTTTTTTTGTTGTGTTTGTTATTGTCAGGAGAAGGTTCTTATCAAAGAAAATATTAGAAAAGTAGAGGGGAAAATTGGGAAAAAGTTTCGTTGTTAGCGAGATAGGTTGGACCCGTGCGAAGCGGGGGTGGGCGGCTAGTATTTAAATAAATTTCATTATATGTACTTATAGATACATTTTATGCATTTAATGTAAATCGTGGAAATTCAAGACATAACAGTGAGACAATTATTTCGCGAACAATAATTTCGTGGATATTTTTAGCAAAAAACCTATTTAATTGTACGCAACCAAACTGTGGATGACCAAGGCCATTATTAAACACATTAAAGCGAGATCAAAATGAAATTGAAACGAGTCAGCAGTTTTGGTCGGGTGACAATGAATGAGGGGTGAGGGCCGACGGGACGTGTGGACTAAGCCTAAGCCTTGCTGACGTGGCGACCTGTGGGACTAACAGGATCGTTTACTAACATGTTTATTCCACATTATATATAAAGTGGATCGAGATTCAGTGGATACAATGTACTCTTCAATGTTGTGACATTAATTTCATTAAAATTATATTTTATTATTAGGTGTTTAAGGTACTTAGAAGATTACCTAATATTACCATAATAGATAAAACAGAGTCATTTACAATAACGCCCACGTTTCGTCAACTTTGTATCAAATCAGGCCTTCTTTTTCCTTACATACTCGTGCCAAAAATCAAGTAATTCATAATGTTTACAAAGAAAAACTCAAACGTAATAAAATTGACTAAAAATACGAAGTGTACGCAGTTACCTGCCGAGTTTATTTTCGTGAAAACAAGTCAATTCCTATGATGTTATCCGTTTATTTCTTGTGACATCAAAACACTTTTTTCGTTATTACATTCCCTGCAAAATGCGATCATTTATATTCGTATAATGTAGCAGCGTAGGTGTTCTTTCAAGTTTGAAAGTTGAAACAATTTTAATAACATTACAATTTTGTGATACTGGGTACAGGAATAGATCAGTTAACTTTTACTTTGTCACTTCAATAAAGTGATTATAATTTGTGTTTCCCTTTATTTTCAGGGTGACTCGGGAGGTCCGCTTCTATGCAAGGACCCGGACGACGCGTCGCGCTGGTACGTCGGCGGCATCGTGTCGTGGGGCATCAAGTGTGCCCATCCGCGACTGCCCGGAGTGTACGCGTACGTGCCCAAGTTCATTCCCTGGATACACCAGCAAATGAGGCAGTACAATGACGACAACGCCAAATCAGAAGACATATAAACGGCGAATTATTAAGAGGCATCACTTTAGAATATATAAATCTAGATATTTGACAATAATATGTTTGTCCAACAAAGGAAATATTCCTATTTATACCTGTATTTTGAACATTTTAGGTATTTTTTATCAACGTTGAAATTAGCGTACATTTTATTTAGGCTTAGGTTGACTGTAGATAGTTATTATTGAAAATCAAAAACTGTTGCGTACTTTACATTATACAATTTATTATTCTTAAGTGGTGTCGATATGATCTTGACTTGAAATACCTGCACGTAAGGCAGGAAACTATGACTATGACAATAATTATCGAATAATGACAATAAATTAATTAACGATGACAATAATAAAATATATACAATCGTAAAATGTAGTAGGTAAGTCAATTTTTCAAGAGAATCTAAATATATACTATACAATGGATATATACAAAGAAATTCTGAATCATATATGTATAAGAAGTCTTGGGGAGTTGACTTATATATTTATTGATTTTGACAAAGACATATGGCTAAATATTTTCACATATCACTCGTATATCGCGTGATGTAAATTATTTGAAGCTGTGATAGTAAATGATTTATTATGAAGCGAACAAGTCGATATTGTATTCAAGTTTACCCGTGACTTGAAGTGGACTTGACACAGTGACTGGGCACGCTGTCGCGTCCCTCGATACTTTTTCTCGGGGTAGTCAGTCATCGGTGACGTAGGTCTAACTAATATTTTACATATTTATGAAAACTGTTTTGATTCACGTGGATTTTATATGTAAGCTGCTTTTATAAGTAATGTAGTGTTCTCAAAGCTTTAGCAGACTTTTAGATTGTTTTTAATATTATACTAACATACTTTGTTTTTCGTTTTTAATTCTATTCTGTGTTAGTGTAGAGTGAAGGAAAACCTCATTTGTCATTCGGGACCAGAATTTCAATGAAATTGCTGTAGTGGAGTTAATATCTTTGCAATTATTCAATGCCACGAGTGACAAATTAGGAGATCCATAGTATTTAAGTGTATGTTTGTTTGATGTTTGATGTTAGTAGTTTAGGGGAAAGTGCTTTTATAGAATAAAATTAAATCCCATTCACATGGATGCAGGTTAAAAAAATATAGATTAAAAAATATAGACATTGATCGTTTATTAAAAAAAAATAGATGTTAATCTACGGCGTTCTAAAGTTCTTCCTATTGACAATAAAATATGAATGTTGAGTTTAGGAAAATACGATGAAATCGTAACAAAAAATAAATTTAATAGATAATGAATTACCAAGACAATATCTAAAGTAAATATATAGCATTGAATAGCACTATACTTGCGTCAATGGCGCGAGTCGCTGAGAGGGTCCGGCATGTACCTATTTGGACTAGGACCCAGGAATACAATCCAACCTTATAATATGACGACAATAATAATTTTTGACAATATATTTACTAACAGACGTAGTTTAAGCTTTGTTAATATACAATTTAGATACTTCTGTTTCAATATGTTTTTCTAAATGTAAGTAGGTGTCATTTTTAAATACCTTGACAATAATGGAAATTGTAATTATATTAGACACATAGCTTTAATAGATCCTAAGACATAGAATTAGATATGGTAGCTGTAGGTGTGGTAAACATTTTCTAAACTTAGGACAAAATATACTTAGTTCCTTTTATATGGGTAAACTTTTCATTTTTCGTATAGTATCTAAATGTTCTGCGATCCAGTATGTGGTCTCTGGAGAGACGTGGTTATAGCACAAAGCTATGCTCAAAGTAACATAGGTATATTTATATATAAGTATAGAATGAATGTTAATGTTTTAGCGATGTGAACTTGAACGGTAGCAAGCGTACAATGTGGGCTTACATAGGGGCGGAGAGATTATTTAAATAGTTTAAATATACATAGGGATATCAGTATTTACATGGATACTTAGGTGTTGCGGTGTAGGTAGCTGTACTCTGTGCATTCTAGTCATATCATGTTCACATACTAGACTCACGTTTCGGCCTAAAGATACATGTCACGTGGTGTCAGTCAATTGTCTCACGGAGTTCACGTTCACATCGCACTAATGATATAATTCTACATTTACATGGAAGTATGGTTGTTGACTACTTATGAGTCTCCTTCTCAACTCGAGCTTTCTCTAGTGTAATATAAATATATATATATATATGTAATTATATAATATTAATACTATATCAGAGTTTAAATTATCAATTTTGTTAGTATCGCGATAAAAGGAATTAGGTTCGAATATAATTTGATAAATGAATATAAATGTCGATGATTTTATCAAAATTCTTTTCTACGTAGTGACTGAATTAAAGTACCGAATGTGAAAACATGAGAACAGAATAAAGAGATCGGAGAGAATGAACCAGATGGTCTATTGTTTAAATAGTAAAGTGGTACTTTTAATTTGTTCTCGTTTTTTCATAAGCTCTAGATGTACCTTCTAGCTAGTAAGTTAGGTTAAGTGGAATAGAATAACTTAGTATGTTAGGGGCATGCTTTAGTGTTCTGTGACATCTTATGATACTTGTGATCTCTGCATTACGGACTCTGCATTATAGGTAATACTCCATACATTCGCTAAGTTTATTTCCCAGATACTCGCCCATTTTTATTGCAATTGTAATTAACTACTTATTATTTTAATTTATTGCGCAATCATTGTCTTCTATTTAATTATATTATTACACTTTTACTATGGTTGAGTGGGGTTGGATGGCAATACAGGAACAAACGTAAAGATTGACCAGAGATCACGTATATAAAAATACCATTGTTTCATATCCACGTATCTGTTCTGAATTTGTTTTAGATACTCCGTCACACAAAAAAATACCTGCCATAGACTTGAATACACTCAGTATAAAAAGATAATAAAATACTTGTTTGGAGTGGTGTTGTATATATTAATTTAAAGAGGCGAGCACGATTCACTTGTTTTGGTCTATCCAGTCACTTCCGTAGTAGCGAAGCTTAATTTATAGAGATGTGTCTCAAACGAAATAAGTTCGTTAATGAATTATAAATAAACATAAAAATGCATTGGTATTTGGCTTTATATAGAACATGTGTGGAAAATGCATGTTCAGCTCTTAATGTTTATATGAACGTAGTTTTACATGTATCGCGTATATTGTATACTGTTGTAGAATATAATTGCTGTTGGAAAATAAATTCTATGGTAGACTATATTGTGTCGTGTTCAAAGCATATCTTTTCCGAGTCAGCAGGTTTGACTCCAACCCATAGTTATAGGTAATAAATTATTAGATACATACGTATTTGTAAAGAAATAGTGACTATCGTAATTAGCGACAATAAATATTTTGATAATGAACAAACATTATATATAATTCTAAATTTCTACTGGTGGTTACATAGTGGTTAAGTTTTCAAAGAAATAATAACAGAATTGTTTACAACTGTACGATAGGTGTAAGGAATGGGCGAATACATTGAAGACCTAACCACTAAATATCCTTGAACAACTTTACATCAAGCTTGGAACTCTGTTACGTTGCTTTAGTGGGTTTTGTTGATCGACAATATAGTAAGTTGTATCTCCTAAACGATATCATCGAAGCCGCGTACTTCAGGCTAACATAACGGTTGTGTATTAAATGTTTAGTGGTGTACCCGTCACTAGAATGACGTCACTGTTTAGTGCTCGCATCGGTGTCCACTGGCCCCTATTAAATGTTGATCGTTGTAGAAAAAATATTTATTAGGTAATAATGAGTGTTTCTTTACTTCTACTTAATGAACACTAGCTCTCAATGGTTAAAAGTATCCACTGAACTGGGTACAATGTCGGTGATATAAGGCGAAGTATATAAGATACGTCTTGAAATATTTATATTTATTTGTAGTTTCACTTTCATACTCTATCTGAGCTGGTCCTCAATCGTTACTTTTAGTATAAGTATGGAATGTCAGCTAATATCGTCGACATTGTGCTAGTATCATTTTATTTGGATCTCATTTCGACTCTGTTGAAATCTTTAGATATTTTTATACCTATGTAAGATGTACGAATGTTTAGATATTGTCAATTTCTTGCCAACGACTATTGTATGCGCATAGTATCAATTAATATCAATTACATGCCTACACTATATACTCAATGTTGATTTGTTGTATTGGATCGATTTTGACAATAAATTTTAATATGAGTTAACGAAATGAGCAAAGTTTAAAGTTTGTTAAAAATTGGCATTAAGTATAGTTTTTTTTTAATTTTTACATAGCCGAAAGAAATTCTTTGCGTTTCAAAAAATATATTAATTTTAATTATATGAAAAGACAATAAAAGTGATGTGACAATATTTCGACGGAACATTCCGTAGATAGCCTTGTTTGTTGATTTATTGAACTTTTTGTATTTTTCCAAACATCTAGACTAATGAATTAACCCTTCGTAGTTTAGATATTTGTCATTAAGAAGGAAAATGGATTGTAGTAATATTGGGACAGGTAAAAGATACTAATTATATTTTCTAAGTACCTATATTTTTTATTTAAATAGAAAAGAAAGTGAACAAAGAGACTTACACCCGGTTTCCGAAAGGCCGATCAATGTTAAAATCAACTTAATCTCTTGTCAAGTCATCTGATTGGTTGACTGAATTATCAACAACCAATCAGATGACTTGACAAGAGATTTAACAGGAGATTAGATAATTTTAGCGTTGACAAGCTTTTCAGAAACCGGGTGATAGAAAAAGAAACCACTACTTATAGCAATTTTTGAAATATCAATATGTATCTTAAGAAACCATGAATGTTTGAGGTCTCAATATTACCAAAATCTAAAAAAAAATATAATTATGTAGAAACGTAATAGATACGCACAAGTTACTCTGTACTATATATAAAGCCACTATTTTAGAACATTTCCGTTTATATACACGCCATGCTGATACATACGCGTTAATATATCGATGTTTATGTAATTATGTGTGCTGACGGTGTTGCTTTCCTGTTTTTATACGGTCTTATGTGCTTCATATAATTGGTGTTATCATTAATGTACTGTAGGTTTGCAGATTTGTCTAAATTTTATGTAAAAATTTCAGTGAAAACAGACTTTTGTGCTTGTTAGATGTGATTCCTATGTATTTTACTTCAAATTATAAAAGTGTTTTAAATTGTTTTTATATATTTATTTAAGTAACGTACATATTAGTGTCTGATTTAAGAAACTTTGCATTAAATTAACATTTCAAAATGAATATTTTGTCAGCTGATTGATCTATCGCACAAATTCTATAAAAATGTATTTACATTGTAAGCAGAAATTATTATTTACACCTCGTACACAAATGTTTAGTGCTGTTAGTTTTTGTCTTTGTGTAGCTTTACTTTGTTCCTCAAGCTTGGATTAAATAATATAATAAAATTATGTAGTTTTGTTTCTCTACACCTTCTAATGATGCACTGTAGGTATCTACATGAAACTAAATAATGAAACTACAAATTATTGAATTAATATTTTACTAATGGATACAATATAGTTACATTAATCAACAATAGGTATAAATAACTAGATTAGTCACTACCCACTTAGACGTGGTACATTTCCTTTACATATTCAGGTGATAAGACATGATCGGAACAATCGACGCGACCATCACTCGACCCTTCTACATAAATATATAAAACCACGCGGTTAGCTTATTAATGAATGTTTTATTTTTATATAAATTCGAAAATCAATGAATTCATGAGTCAAATGTGTTTAGGACCTCTAGTCATTCCATTTGCGATCGTAGCGCCATCTAGAGTTGAGAAAACCGGTGTTTCTTGATTCATACAAAAGGGCGTTTAAGAACTAAAATTTAGTGTGCAATAAATAGACATTCCATGCACTACTCCATTATTATAGTTGAGACATTTGTTTTTTTAAGTAAATTTCGGAATACCTATTATCTATAGAGATTCGTATGACTTAATGAATTTGCACTTTAATAATACCCAGTCTAAATAAAATAAGAGTTAGTAACTAATTAGATGCAATTTCATAAATACTGTTACTATAGATAATATATGATAGAAGTAAATAATTTTATTAATTAAGGACCGTTTTGCAGCTGCACCAATGAATGGCTACTTATCAACTTACATTGTAATTAATTGAACATTTTCCAATAATTGATTGACTTATAAATTGACACTTAAGATTTTTTATAACTAGACATTGATACTTGTAGATATAGAGCACAGAATGTTTTCAGGTAAGAGAACCATATGGAAAACCGTATTACAAGTACTACATATATATTTATGGAACAATAGTTTATTGAATGTTTCATTTTTTGTTAGTAGTGACAATATGTATGGCATCATTCTAGACTGAATTCCATTTTCAAATTTACAAAATAATAGCCCGGTACAATCTTAAAGTTACGATATTTTTTACTTTTTATTAGTGAGTGGGTCAACAAAACGGTCCTAATTTTAAGCATGGGACTAAAGTAAGGTGTGCTCACACAACATCCAAGTTCAGTCTTGAGTATATCTTCTAAATTGACTAATCGATTTATCTGTCAGTAATTACAATACAAGGAGGTTACAAGAAAAGTAATAAGTTCAGCATACGCTAAATATGAGACGATGGTACGCATCCATGCTTGGTAAAAGTTATTTATTAAAAAGTTGACTAAGTATCTACTACGTCGGAGAATTTTAACTTTTAAATTAAATTAAAACGTATTTAACAAATAATATAAGTTACAATCCCAATAGAGGAGTATTATGACATATCACGTAATCTACTAAAGATTTTTAACAAAAATGCGTGCGCGATACCACGTGGTACGTATGTGGTATCATTATTAAACATTCGAATACCAAACAATTCTGCTACTTCAGGTAATGTCCGACATTAAATTGTTTATATTCACAAAACTAATGAGTGAACCATGATCTAATTACAATAATGAAGAAATAAAATCTATAACGACGTGCAAACTCTGGAGTCATATTAAAATGTAATACTGTTTACATACGTACAAAATTGGTCCATATCTGTCACACACCTTGTTAACTAAGACGTTTACTATTTAAAGTTAGCTATTACAAACGTGAGCTCATTTTTTAGACCTTTTCAATATCTTCTAAAACAAAATTTGCAAAATCGTTGCCAATTTGAAGTAATAATTATGAAAGTAAACATAAGAAGAGCATGTGAAAGATATAGTCCTAATTCAACCCGAGTCCTACCGTAATTACAATCGACGTAAGTACAAATTGACAGTACACAAGGCTTTATACAAACAACTATACAATATACAACTGAAACAATTAAATTCTTTAGCCGAACACCTACTTCAACAATTACTTCATAAGTACTCTAAATAAATGTGTTGAACAATTTTAGTCTTCTTAAAGAAATGGTCTGGCAGTTGTCTATGTACTATTCCCACCTACTCTACACGCCTACTAAGATTGTTTGGACATATTTACTCGATACAAGACGAGTAGCTTATCGAATATCGATACCGCGACATTAGTATAAAGAGCTGGATACACGTAGCTCCTCGAAATATCAGTCTAGTCAGTACTCATTATTGTCGACTAACGAAGACTAGTCGATATCAAAGGCGTGCTCTTGTACTCTGGGACGACTCAAGTGTTCTACTAGAAGTACAAGGGCGTATCTTGTATACAATAAGCTATCTCATTAACCATTCAATAAGATTGAGTTTCGCGTTACAATAAAATATTTTAAAAACTGATCCAGACGATTTCTTACCAAAATTAATATAATAATCATAATCATATAGTACAGTCTAATTCATTTATAAAATGATGTAACTAGTTCAGTTAAAAATAAAATATGTATAAATCTAATACACAGTAACTATACTAAATAGAGCCTCAAGGCAGATAAGTTTTACAGATAAAATATAAACTTTATATCAACAAATTATATATAGTAGTGATTCATTAGTGGCTGTGTAAGTTGCTGTTCTACATGAAGATGCAAACAATATGTCAGCTGCAGCAGCAGTAAGATGATTCTTCTTAAGGAAGTTTCACTTCAGCAATTAAAGGAAAACATTAAAATAAAGTTATTTAGAATTTGTACACTCAAACAGCCACTAAACAACACCCTGTATAAGAAAATCTATGATTCCGATAACATATCAGTGGCGACGATATAATTCATTTACTTAAATTTAATGATATGAAGCAAGCGCAAAGTTTACCAATTTTAAACAATTTAAAATATTTCATAATTATATATATTGCATATAATAAATATTTCTAATATAATAATACCTATACACGCTTTACATGGGGCATGTACTTAGATCGATAGATGAATGCCCAGTCAAGATTTAGAAGAAGAAAATCAAGTGAGTGGACATTAGTTTTGAACACATAGTACTTCAAATATTCATATATCGACTAAGTACAGTCCATGCCTACCTTCGATACTTTTCAGTCGATAAATAGCCTCTTTCGAGAGTATATCACGTACACGATGTCTACCACTAACAATATGAACGATCAAACATTAAAAATCTTTGGTGTGTTGGGTACTATAGCTTACTAAAATGAGTATTTAGTCGATTTACCGAATTACAACTTTTTTATTTCAAATTTATAACGATTTATCGCTATATTTTTCGGTTTATTTATATCTCAGCACATTTTCTTACCGTCTTTGCCTTTGAGTTCTCGTAGACATTAATCTTTAATATTATGAAATTATTCGAGTGTTCTTTTTTAAAACTAAAGTTTTTTTATTTTAAAAATTTATAATAAGTTCATAAAAAATGCAATTTTATGCATATTTTTGTAATCGAGCATCGCCAATTGTTAAGCAAATATAATTTTTAGGAAATTTTATAAATTGGACTTATGAGAATTCGTTTGATGAGAATATAATTCATCACATCCATAATAGCGCATTTTTGGCAGAAAACAATCCAATCATTTGATATAAATGAAAATTTTTGTTTTAAATTGAGACTTATTTTTCGTCGAGTTTATTTGGTGATACAGACACCTCCTTTTCGTTACATTACAGAGTAACTAGTACATACTATAAATGAGGTTGTATGTAAATATTCAACGTAATTGGCAAGTATTAATTATACATAGTTATTTGTCGATCGTCATTAAGTTAGATATACACTATTAGAATGTGTTTTATATCAGTTTTAAGGTACTTTGGATCGGAATGGATAACCTTAAATTAAGAGATTGGGCCTACATAGTTCAGTATGTTATTGAGAAGGTGTTTGTGGAAGAATTTTATTGTATTTTCTTTTGAAACTATGATATAAAATATTATTATACTATAAGAAATGTAAATAAATCTATGTGACATAAAAACCATTTCTATGAAGTTTTAAACATTGTTTTCTGGAGAAAAAATGTGATGTTAAAGACATCAGCACTAAATAGAAGATTCTAGAAAGTATGTACAGGGAAGACGAGGGTATCTTGCAAATTTCACCCTAATAACGATAGAAGTAAGATTCAAAAATAGATTTGTAAGAGACAACAGTGCTACATTTATAATTTAGTCTTTCAACATTCGCTGTTTGGGTTCTAAATGTTTAGGCCTTTAACTAAAATACTTTCAGATTTATCCATTAAATAAACCGTAATTAGAAATTACTATTATTATATTGTATGTGGCAACTCTATTTTTTCGTTTCGGACTCTGTTGTTGACATAGACATTTTCTATATTACAAATATGGGAAGTTAATATCCTAAAAATACTTTGTGTGTTTTGCATAAGTCATTCACAATATCTTGAACTCATAAAACAAAATGCTAAATAACGTAGATTCTTGAGTAAGACCAAACAGTTTTGTTATGGACACTAATGGATCATTTACTTGAAACATCACACGTACACCTGTTACATTCATTCATTTAAGATACATAACTCTTGACCATTCACATATTACCCTACTTTGTATAAATCAATGTTATCCATTATTGTGCCCATAACTTTACAAAATAACAAACAAACACCGACCTTGTTGTTATTAAAATAAGGTTCTAATTGGACTGTTGTATGGACGCTAGGAAGGCGGGGTCGACAGACGCTACCTTCGCCGTCAGGAACGCATGCATGCAAAACAATAAGCTCTGTAGGATCTGGCATTCTAGTTCCTGGAACAAAAATATAGGCAGCTTAACAATAGCTACTACGTACATAAGCCATAACAGTGACATTTTCGACTTTATTACAATACAATAGAGTCAAAAACAAGAAAAATATGTACATTGGAGTAATTTAACCTGCTATGAGCAAGTCGATAATTACCTTTGTTTCAATAACTTTGGTCTCAGAGTCCTGGAAGTGTAGTTTTAATTTTGATTTCCCATCATCACTGGAACCTCGGAGTTGAGAAAACCTGAAGATTATAAAGTACTATTTTAAATCTAAGGGAAGACTCGTTAGGCTCACAAATTACGTTACTAGCTTAAAACTTTAAAATGTTTTTTTAAATCTTCATTATTATTATTAAAGTCAAAATAAAGTCAAAGTCAAAATTATTTATTTCAATTAGACCCATACAGGCACTTTTGAACGTCAACACAACTTTAAAGATACAAAGTGTCAGTCTGTCGGTCAGTCCTTTTAGTGAAGCTATTCGCTCGTTCCAAAGTGTGAAGTATTTAGATTTGAGCCAGTATTTTGCAATATTATATTCGTTAATACAAATATTATAATACGTATACCCACCGGTATGCCCAAACAGGCTTGGCTCCAGGCGTGCCCTCACTTAGCGAGAACCCAGCCGCCCAGTCTAACGTCAGTCCCGCCGCACGGCCCATGTGGACTACCGTAAACGTTTTCTTCTGTAACAACACATAAGTACACGTTTTTATTTTTTATAGATTATGATGTTGCAAAATAGACATATAGCTTACGTAATGGAGTTATGTTTTATGCATGGATAAACAGAACCAAGAAATGAAGTACGAAAGAGATAAATTAGTTAGCGACACTGGTTTTCCTTTGAAAGAGTGTAAGGGGCACTTCTACTTAATTTTCTGTTAAGTGGATCTGTCGTTGAAACAAAAGAAATTTTCTGTTTTCAATAATACTTTTTGATGAGTATATTTTTTTTTCAATGTCATTTGACATTTGTAGCTTACGTCAATGGAGTACCATAATATGTGGAGGTTACGATATAAGAATATTTAATTGATTATTTTTATTTGGATTATAGTATCTGAACAAATAAGAATGTATGGAGACGGCAAACATTTTTGTACAATTCCGCAAACTCCCGCATGTGCGGACGTGCCGCCGACTGCTAACTTTTTCGAGAGGCAGGTTAGACTAATCATATTTCTACAACTTTCTACAACAATAGTATCTATTACTACTCTCAGCTCCATTTGATCGTAGTGTGATATTTTATAGCCTATAGCACTTAGGAACATTGTAGCTATCTATCAGTCAAAGAATTTTGGCAATCCGACCAGCACGAGCGGTTCTAAAGATTAACTACCCTACATACAAACTTTTAAATTTTACCTCTTTATAATATTAGTATAGATTAAAAGGACTAAAAAAGGGCAACGTTTAAAAAAACAATGAATGAACTTGTACGGTTCTCACAGATTGTTATTACTGTTTTACATTGTCTGGACTTGTCACGAAAACAGACTGACCTCTGAGTTTGTCTCGTTATTTCTTCTCAGAGTAGTCAGATAGGAAATGCCGGCTTCGTCTAGTCTTACATTAAATAAGTTTGACGTGTAAGAGTGCCGCTTTATGTCCTACATGCAAAAATAAATTATTGTTTCGTTCGGTGTGTGAAGTTACTATGATAGTTCGCTATTTAAAGTTAAACTTTGTGTGGTGTCCCAGCTATGCGTGTTGCGCGGACTGCTGGGTCCGTGCGCGTGGCACCAGGGCTCGAAGTTGTTCATCCGCAGCCTGAGGCGGCTGCGGACGGAGCGCGCGCGTCACGCGGGCTGCGTGTGGCACCCCTACAGCCCCGTCAGGTACTACTGGGACTGCATGCAACTCTTCTTCGTCTTCGCCGCCTTCCTCTACATGCCCTTGCAAGTCTTCATGAAATGTAATTATTTTTACTTCATAGTTTTACTCAATTATTTCGCAAATAAAATACCATAATATTTCTTGCCGTCGTGAATGTGAAATGTTTTTATTTATTAGTTAATTATTACTTTCAGGTCCGAATTATTACGACCCGTTCATTTTATTCACTGACGCGCTGGCATTCCTGAACGTTTGCTCTCTGTTCGTGACCGGCTATCTCGAACACGAACACAAAATCATCATTCTAGATCTAAAACTGATAGCGATACACTACCTGAAGAGCAACTTCATACCAGACTTCATCGGGTGTTTACCTTTACAGCTGATCGAACCATTTGGCGGGTGCGAGTACCCGACTCACACAGTCATGTTCATATTTAAACTTCTAAGATGTATTTCACTGATCGCGCAATGGAAAAACGTCATGGGCCAATTCCAACTATCGTACATCACCTACGTAGGGTTGAAGATAATTATTATGATGATAATGTTCTTCCATTGGTTGACTTACATCCATTATCAAGTGCCAATATTGTGCCATCATCTGTACGAAAAGAATGGCGCTTTCATATCGTGGCTGAAGCGTTTTCACATAATGAGACGAGAGAGTGAGGGCTCTTTATTTCAGAAATACAGCACGAACTTTTATTTGGTATGCGGACTGTGTATCGGCGCAGGGTACTACACTCCGCTGGACACACATTTTGTCCCCGAGTTAATGCTGTCCGCGGGAATGAGCCTGCTGGGCCTACTGTTCCTCACATACGTCTTCTCCGCCCTCCTTCGGCTAGCGATATATCATCATTTCGAAACTTACTGCTTCAGTGGCAAGTCTAGAGAGCTAGAAGAGTACATGGTACTAATGCGTTTGCCAAAGTATTTGAAGAGAAAGATCAGATTATTCATCAACTACAAGTTCAACGAGCACTTCTTCCACGAGGAGGCGATCAAGAACACGATCAACGAGCAGATCCGGCAGGACATCAACATGCACTGCTGCCAGCGGCTTGTCAAGAATGTACCAATGTTCCAGGACATGCCGGTTGCACTTATCAACTCCATTATATTCAGTTTGAAGCAAGTCTTGTACATGCCTGGCCAGGTAATTCTCTTGCCAACGATTAGTCGTAGGTTAACTAGTTGAATAAACCAAGTCATTGTATTATTTGCAGACCGTGGTAGAGTTTAACAAACCAGGCAAATGCATACATTTGATTTCTTCCGGAACGGTGGCAGTCATGGATGCCACGGGAAGAGAGGTTAGAAACACAAGTTTTGCGTGCACATAAATATTATTCAGCATGACTAATGGTCTGGTTATGTAGGTGGCGCATCTACGAGACGGTGCGTTCTTTGGCGAGAATGCTTTGTTAACGCCTGGAGTGTTACGCACTTCTACCATCATCGCGCTCGAGATTACAGAGATTTATACGTAAGTTTATGAATAGAATGTTATCGTTCGAGTTCGGAGGATAGCGTAACTGTTTAGTGAGCACATGTGTCCGTCGTGTGTGGCAGACTGGACAGTGCGTCGTTCCAGCGCTGCCTGCAGCCCTACCCGCACCTGAAGCGGCGCGTGGAGGCCGACCACCGCCGGCCGCGGGGCCCGCGCCGCGCCATCTACTACTCCACTAACGCATGATACATTATGCACACATTTTGTTGTTGGTAACTTCGCACAATACTTAACTATTTATTATCCCTCTTTATGTCCAAGCTGAATAGAGCCTAAAGGACATAAGGCACCTTTGAACAACAAACAATATATACCTATTTATATAATGTTGTAACGACAAGCGACCAGATGGGTCACAAGATGTAGGGCGCTAGCCTTTTGGGTGTTACAGATGATTTGCGAGTTGGGAAATTGGGGATTAGAGAATTGAGCTGGGCAGAGGGGGGAGGCAGATTGGGCCACTGGCATAACCTAACACACACCGCAGGTTCAAGGACTCGATCCGTTCGTTGAAATATCGTATGTCTCCACCTCATTTTTTTTCCAAAAAAAAAACAACCATAAAAGAACCGTATTATAAGGCTAAGAACTCACGGAGCGATTTTAAACCGTGCCCGCCGCGGTAGCGGAACTGCGGTTTTATTTCCAAACTCACGAGACCGGTTATTTGCGCGGTTACACAGCCGCCGCGGTTGCGATCATCGCCCGCAAACGTGGCGGGCGATGATCGCAAGATTGCAAGACGGGCGGTTAACGATCAGTTGAGGTCCAGACCGCCATGGACACACACCAGAAACGAGCCGTTGCGTTATATTTACTTCACAGAAGACCCGCCGGCCCCCGCGGTCGCTCGCCAACCGATCGCAAAGCGCGCGGGTGCCACCCGCCGAGGCTGCGGGTAACCGCGGCCCGCGCGATTCTACTAGTTGCCCGCCGGTACAGCGGGAGCCGCATACAACCGCGTACACCGCGGGCGTAAAACGCGTCGTGAAATGTGCTTTAATTTTTTATATAAATACTTGAATTCTACAGAAGCTGCGGGCCCGCAACCGCAGCGGACGCGGGCGAAAATCGCTCCGTGAGTTCTTAGCCTAAGAAAACAAAAATGTGCGAACTTACATCTACTACTCGTACAACAAAATCGAGTCGTTTTTGTCAGGAATTATTTTGTTCATTAGAGAGTGAATTGAACGAGGTTCTAGGAGGAAAATACCACAGATAAGACGAAGTCGATGTAAATCGTTAGGTCAAGTAATTTTATGTTAAGTAGCAAACGTAGTACAGTTTTTGTTGCAATAAGAAATACATACATATACTAAATAAGTAATTTGTTTTCTTTCAAAGTCAAAAATCATTTATCAATTAGGGCAAATTTTTTAATAGTCAGATAATCATTATCTGAGGAATAAAATTTGTTCCTGTCACTGTCCTATACAAACATTCTGACGCGACAGCATCATAATTATTCCCCAGGTAACTTTTATCTAACCATTGAAAAATCAGCCCTTAGACCCTTACACAGAATTTAAGGAATTTTGACTTTCTTTCTTCCTCTCTTTAGAAAATCGTATTCTATGAAAACTATGATTATATACATAAGTGTTAACTTTATCTCTTAATGATGAGCCACAGTTAATACGGTACCTATATAGTCTACTTGCTTGTCCAAAAAAAATAGAATAGTACTGACCCCGAGTCGTATAACAGAGTTGACGATGTTGGTGGTCCAGGCAGCCTCGACCCGCAGTAAGTCCTGTCGTGTCTCAGCACTGAAGTACCTCGGGCCGGGGGGCGCAGCCCCTGCAGGCCCGGGGGCGGAGCTCTGGACCAGGAAGCAGTGCTGGCGCCAATCCACAGTCTCACTCTCCTTCACCGTACGAAACATGGTCTGGTATACCTTCAGGCTCTCCGGACATTTGGCCAGCTCCGTACTCGACATCTATCGTACACATAAGGATATTAAAATGTTTATTCTTTATAACAATAACTTCATATTGTGAATGTCACGATCAAATACTTTAACTACCTTTCTGGGCAAGTTTTTTTTGTGATAGGTCAGCAAACAAGCACACTTATTATCTGATGGTAAGCAAGCAATCAGCGCCGCCCATGGACGCAACAGAGTGCGTTGTGGGCCTTTTGGGAATCAGGGATTTAGAGATTGGGGGAAGGAAAGGATTGGGGTAGGGAAAGAGTTGGGCCTCCGGTAACCTCACTTACACGGCGAAACACAATGCTGTGGTTTTCTGTGATGTATCACTCCGGTCGAGCTGACTCATTCGTGCCGAAGCATGGCTCTCCCACGCTTAAATGTGACACGATAAAATACTTCCTTAGGACTTGTTTGGGGAATAGGCTGCCAATTACTCACTGGTGGAACATCAAACAGCATGACGTCCGTCCCCTTGAGTACCAGGAACTTGGGTCGGTATGTCTGCCAGGGCTGCTGGGCCTGTACGACCCCCTCGTGTACCCAGCCCATGTACTCGATGCGCTCGCCCGGACCGAAGTGACGGTTGAACAACTTCATCTAAACAATCAAATATGGGGATTTTACATTTAGAAATCCAGATTTTAGAATATTGTGACGGAAAAGTGGTTCAACCTCTTTGACATCATGACGTCAATGGATGGTTGTCAAACGTTGCCTAGAGATTGTAAATTTCGTCGTGAATTGTCAACACGAGTTGGTGTAATCGGTAAGGCGTGTGGATTACACCACAGAGACCCCGAGTTCGAGTCCCGCCGTAAACATGTAGTTTTTTTAGTTGATAGAAGTTTTGTGGAACTTTCTGGAATTATTTGTGTGAAAGAAATGAAAAATTAAAGAGCGAGAAGGAGAATAAATAAAAATGAGTAACGAAATTATTGGAAGGTTCTGGAGTCATGACGATCAAAAAGAATAACGAAATTGAATGTTCCAGAACCTGAACCGGGGGTATATAAGCGGAACTGCGGCTCACCGCTGGCAGTTGAGTTCTAAGTCTAAAGCGATTCGGAAGAAAAGGAAGAAGTGAAAAAGAAGAAAAGTGAGTGAAATAGTGAAGTGCAGTGAAATAGTGAAGTGCAGTCAGTTAAGTGAGTTAAGTCAGCGTGAACGGCAAAGTTGTGTCAGTCGGCCGGACTCTGCTGAAGAGGAACGCCGATAACTTAACTCCGTGGACGCTGTAACTTAAGTGCAATAGAAAGTCTGAAATCTGGTATTAGTGTTTCATTTCATCCAATCCCGTAACCCAAGCCCGCATAGTCAGGAACGTGACGTCAGGCACGTAACATTTGGTGTCAGAAGTGGGATTGGAGAAAAATGCCGCTAGTGCCGCAGGACGTAAGAGGAGTGAGTACCCGTGCAATGGCAGAAGCGCAGCGTGTGAGGGAAGAGAGCGCTGCAGCTCAAACCAGCGATGCAGAAGCCAAGCCTGTGCAGGTGGATCTACTGCTACAGCTGCAGCAAATGATGGTAGAGCAAGCGCGCCGCCAAGAAGAACAGCTACGGGAGCTGAAAGAAGATCAAGCTCGTCGCCAAGAGGAGCAAGCTCGTCGCCAAGAGGAGCATGCACGCTGTCAGGCGGAGCAGCTACGGGAGCTGAAAGAGGATCAAGCTCGCCGCCAAGAGGAGCAAGCGCGTCGCTTGGAAGACATGCATAAGGATTTCACGAAGGGACTGCAAAAGGCTGTCGAACGGGTACAAGAAGTGGAGGAAGGGTTAGGCAAGTTGGAACATCGCGTCAAGGCGATAGAGGAGAGAGTGGAAGAAGAGATCTCCAAAATCAAGCAGGAAGTGACAAGCCCAAGCCCTTTGAAGAGCCGAAGCCGTCTTGCAGCCGTTTTTGAAGCCCCAAATGCGGCTTCAAGTGCAACGAAAGGGCTTAAGATTCCCCATTACGACGGAACAACATCCTGGACCGCGTTCAAGCTACAGTTTGAGACACTTATGGAGGCTTATGGTTGGACTCAGAAGGAAGCACAGTCAGCCCTTACCCTGGCCCTCCGTGATCAAGCGCTCTCAGTGCTGGAAGCTATCGGCGCAAGTGGGGATCTCAGCTTTGGTGCCCTCCTCGACGCACTTGAGGCACGTTTTGGAGACAGCCACCTCGAGCACGTGTACAGAGCGCAATTAAAAGAGCGTACTCAGCGTGCTAATGAGGGCCTACAGCAATGGTCCGTGGAAATCGAGAAACTTGTGCGTCGAGCTTTCCGGTCGACTCCGTCAATGATTGAAGGCACGCTTCTCCAAGCGTTCATTGACGGTATTCGGGACCCCGAAGTACGAGCCGCTGTTCATCTGGGCCATCACAAGAACATGAAAGAAGCTCTGGCCCATGCATTGGAAGTGGAAGCCGTGCGTGGTAACTCCCGTACCTTACGTCTGCGGGAAATGACGACAACGGAGCAGGTACCTCCACGCCGTCGGAACTTCATGTGCTATGGATGTGGAGAGCGTGGGCACATACGGAGCGACTGCCCGAAGAAGATGAACCGCCAGGACGCGGCGGTCTCAACTTCTGACCAGCAGGGAAACTTAAATCCAGCCAGGGCTGCGGGGTGGGCGCTGGCTGGTAGTGGAACAACCCCAACAATCTACATCAAGCAAACCAACGATGGAAATACTCTGGTGATAGACGGTCAAGTAAATGGGAAAAACAGTCAGCTAACATTAGATACTGGAGCTTCAAGGACGGTGATAAATGTTCGGCTGCTCGAGCAAAACATCAGGAAACACCTTAAACCAATTGTTGGCCTACAAATGAAATCAGCTACCGGCCAGTGCATACCGATAAGTGGAAAACTGCATGTAACAATCAAAATTGGGGAACGTGTTTATCGACATGAGGTTATTGTGGCCAAAATTCTGGATGACTGCATCCTGGGACTTGACTTCCTGCAAGGGCACCAGTGTAACATCGACTTAAAATCTGGAGTTTTACTATGTGGAACTGAGGAAATTCCGATGAAGGGTGGAACCCTGGGAAAAGTTTGCTGTTTAAGAAGAACTGTTCTTGCACCAAAATCACAGACTCTCGTACCAATCGCATTACCTAGGAGGAAGGAAGGAAGTTTACCTCGAAGGTGCGCTGTGATTGATAAATCGGAACACGTAAACTCATGGCTACCGGCAAGAACTGTCGTGGGGTCATCTGATGTCAACCGCATTCCGGTATTCAACTTCAGTGATTCAAAAATTACGATTGAAGAAGGAGAGCCTGTGGGCGTATTGGAAGAAGTGGCCTGGATAAGGAAATGCTCGGAGAATCTTGTGAAGAAGGACAGTACGGGAATTGACTTTGTAACGAAAATCTTAGACGAAAACAAAAGTCTGACAAAAGTGGAGACTATGAAAGCTAGAAATTTACTTCTTCGATTCTCTGATGTGTTTTCAAGAAGCGATGGTGATATTGGCCGAACTGGTTTGGTGAAGCATAAAATAAACACAGGTGATACAATGCCAATTCGTCAAAGGCCCAGACGCATACCATTCGCTCGTGAGAAAGAGGTTGAAGAAATGATTGACGATATGAGGAAAAATGACGTGATAGAGCCCTCTTCTAGCCCTTGGTGTTCACCTGTCGTGCTTGTCAAGAAGAAAGATGGTTCAACGAGGTTTTGCGTAGACTATCGACGATTGAATGATGTAACCAAGAAGGATAGCTACCCGTTACCAAGAATCGATGACACACTTGACACATTGAGTGGCATGAAATGGTTTTCAACGCTCGATCTGAAAAGCGGCTATTGGCAGGTGGATTTGGATCCCAAGGACAAGGAAAAGACCGCATTCTCAACTGGGAAGGGACTCTGGCAATTTAAGGTGATGCCATTTGGATTATGCAATGCACCGGCAACTTTTGAGCGTTTGATGGAACAGGTGCTGGCGGGACTGCTGGGCGAAACCTGCCTAGTTTACCTCGATGACATCATCATTGTTGGACGGGATTTTGACGATCATCTAAGGAAATTGGAAAAGGTACTCGGCAAGCTGCGTGGAGCAAATTTAAAGTTGAGTCCAAAGAAATGCTCTTTCTTCAAGCGCGAAGTGAATTATCTAGGACATGTTATTTCTGAGAGAGGAATTGAGACTGATTCAGCCAAGACTGCCGCTGTTAAGGAATGGCCAACACCTAAAGACAAAACGCAAGTTCGGGCATTTCTTGGATTGTGCTCGTATTATCGGCGGTTTGTGAAAGGATTCTCGGACATTGCCAAGCCATTGCATCGATTGACAGAGGATAAACGTGCCTTTGTTTGGGACGAGGATTGTGAGCAAGCCTTTCGAGAACTAAAAGAACGGCTTTGTAACACACCAATTCTCGGATATCCCAGCGCGAAAGGAATATTCGTAGTTGATACGGATGCCAGCAATATTGGAATAGGAGGTGTCCTTTCACAACGCGATGGTGAGCAGGAGAAGGTTATTGCTTACTTCAGCAAGTCACTATCCAAGCCAGAGAGGAATTATTGCGTGACCAGGAGGGAATTGCTGGCCGTAGTCAAAACCCTGCACCATTTCAAGAAGTATTTACTGGGACGGAAATTTTTGATCAGAACTGATCACGCTGCTTTGAAATGGCTGCTTCAGTTTAAGGATCCCGAAGGCTAAGTAGCCAGATGGCTGGAACAACTTCAGGAATTTGACTTTGAAATCGAACATCGCGGCGGAAGAATTCATGGCAACGCAGATGCATTATCGAGACGCCCATGCGTGGAAGATTGCAAACATTGTGCTAAGAAGGAAACTGCTTTTCTTAAGGTGATAAGGACTGATACTGTTGACGAGGCATGGGGAAATGATGCGATGAAATTAGAACAGGAAAGAGATGCAGATATTAAACCAATACTGGAGTGGCTACGAAGTGGTAACAAGCCAAGGTGGAGTGACGTCGCCCAATATAGCGCGGTAACGAAAGGTTTATGGGCACAGTGGAAAAGCCTTACGCTGCATAACGGACTTCTGTGCAGGAAATGGGAATCAACAAACGGCAAGGACGAGCATTTGCAATTGGTGGTGCCTCGTTCAAAAATAAGGGATGTATTAAAAGCGTTCCATGATGGATCTTCTGGAGGACATTTGGGAATTAGGAGGACTTTGGTGAAGATCAAGGAGAGGTTTTATTGGTTGCATTGCAAATATGACGTCGAAGATTGGTGCCGGAAATGCACTAGTTGTGCAGCTGTCAAGGGTCCACAAACAAGGAGCAGGGGGGCGATGAAAATCTACAATGTTGGTATGCCTTGGGAGAGAATAGCCTTAGACATCGCTGGACCATTTCCAATCACTGATTCGGGCAATCGCTACGTTTTAGTGGTTATGGATTATTTTACAAAATGGCCGGAGGTCTTTGCCATACCGAATCAAGAGGCAGTAACTGTAGCGACGAAGTTGGTAAACGAAGTATTCACCCGATTTGGAGTACCCTTGGAGATGCACAGTGATCAAGGACGGAACTTTGAATCCCAAGTTTTTCAGGAAACTTGTAAACTTTTGGGAATCCATAAGACTCGAACGACCCCTTATCATCCACAGTCAGATGGAATGGTCGAACGCTTCAACCAAACATTGGAGCGACACTTAGCAAAGGTGGTTGACAGCCATCAGAGAGATTGGGACACTTACATACCTCTCTTCTTGCTTGCCTATCGGACTGCTGTACATGAAAGTACCGCAAAGACGCCTGCATTTGCAAATTTTGGAAGGGAATTGAGATTACCGGCAGATCTTGTATCGGGCTGTCCACCTGGCGACTCTCGCGCCGAGTTTAGCGATTACATAAGCGAGTTAAGGGCAAAAATGTTGGACATTTATGAGCAGATCAGGGAGGCCGGTTTTCAAGCTAGTGATCGCGCAAAGACGCGCTATGATCGACGAGCCAATTCTGTTGGGTTTGAAGAGGGGTCATTGGTCTGGCTTCATAATCCAGTCAGAAGGAAGGGAAAATCTCCGAAGCTGCAACCGAGTTGGGAAGGTCCTTATGAGATAGTCACGAAGATCAATGACATTACTTACAGAATTCGGAAGACTTCAAGGAGCCCTTTGAAAGTTGTCCATATAGACAGGTTGGCGAAGTATTACGGCAGCAACGATGCTCGGGACGAGCAAATCTAAGAGGGGGGCAGTGTGACGGAAAAGTGGTTCAACCTCTTTGACATCATGACGTCAATGGATGGTTGTCAAACGTTGCCTAGAGATTGTAAATTTCGTCGTGAATTGTCAACACGAGTTGGTGTAATCGGTAAGGCGTGTGGATTACACCACAGAGACCCCGAGTTCGAGTCCCGCCGTAAACATGTAGTTTTTTTAGTTGATAGAAGTTTTGTGGAACTTTCTGGAATTATTTGTGTGAAAGAAATGAAAAATTAAAGAGCGAGAAGGAGAATAAATAAAAATGAGTAACGAAATTATTGGAAGGTTCTGGAGTCATGACGATCAAAAAGAATAACGAAATTGAATGTTCCAGAACCTGAACCGGGGGTATATAAGCGGAACTGCGGCTCACCGCTGGCAGTTGAGTTCTAAGTCTAAAGCGATTCGGAAGAAAAGGAAGAAGTGAAAAAGAAGAAAAGTGAGTGAAATAGTGAAGTGCAGTGAAATAGTGAAGTGCAGTCAGTTAAGTGAGTTAAGTCAGCGTGAACGGCAAAGTTGTGTCAGTCGGCCGGACTCTGCTGAAGAGGAACGCCGATAACTTAACTCCGTGGACGCTGTAACTTAAGTGCAATAGAAAGTCTGAAATCTGGTATTAGTGTTTCATTTCATCCAATCCCGTAACCCAAGCCCGCATAGTCAGGAACGTGACGTCAGGCACGTAACAATATATAACTGTGATTTTCCTTTCACTAAAAGAAACAGACATTTTCGCTGTGGCAGCTATGGTACAAAAATAAAATTTTACTGTTAGGTAGCTACCTTAGTTTAGAATCATTACTGTAATGCTAAATGATCTCAGTGTTTACCTGTAGATTGGTAAGCCCTACAATGTTGTCGGAGATACTTTTGAGCCACTGTGAAAGTGCTGCGGGGTCTTCTGCATGGATCACTCCCGTAGTTAGATGAGGTCGGGCACCACGAACCTGGACACACAAACATGCAATATACATTATTATATGTTGTAAAATATACTAACACCCGGTTTCTGAAAGGCTTGTTTAGAATTTATTTATTTAGAAAATAAAAAACGTGGCACTACTGTAGGATTTTCTCCTGTGTTGTGGGTACGTTTACAAACATACATTGTCACATACACATGACACCCAGACCCGAAACAACATTTTTTGGATCATACAAAGTGTTGTTCCGTGCGGGAATCGGACCCGCGACACGTTGCACGGCAGCCAGTTGCCCAGCCACTGCACCAACCGTGCAGTCAAATCAACTTGTCAGGCTTGTCAACGCTAAAATTAAATAATCTCCTGTTAAATCTCTTGTCAAGGCATCTGATTGGTTGTTGATAATTCAGTCAACCAATCAGACGACTTGACAAGAGATTAAATTGATTTTAACATTGATCGGCCTTTCGGAAACTGGGTGTAAGTCTAATGAGTAATTTTAATGATATACATACCTCAAACGCGCCAGGTCGTAATTTGTCTGTTCCCAACACGTACCTTGTGACATAACCCATCATTAACGGAACTGTAACATTAATATTAAACATTTTTAAATAAAGCCCATTTTGTGTCCATCATTATGTATTTAAGTCATTATCTAATTTTGAGTATTAAAATAAACCGAGTACAGAAACCAAAATAAGTAAAACGAGTATAGAAACAGCTCAAAGCTGAATGGATGACAATTAACAGGATCATCAAAGATATGGATAAGGTAGATTATGTGTAAAATGTGCGAGAGGGAGTGTCCGACTCTTACTGACTAAAAACTTCTTTCCTTTTAGTGCTCCAGGCCGAGGCCTTGGCACCGTATTACGGTTGCCCCACAACCTGGCTTGATATCAGCCCAGTTGGATCCTATCTGTAGTAGTCTATTGGCTCTTTGAGGCAAAGAACGGGAGGTTCTGATGACGACTAGTAAAAGAGAATGGAAGACAACGCCATCGCAGCATCCCTTAGGGCTAGTAACTTAGAATGATAGAGTCATAAAGGCAATTAGGACAGTTTATAAAAAGATGAGTAGTGTATCGTACCGGAGACGACGTCGACCCAGTCCCGGTTGGTGTCCCCGGGCAGGTCGGAGGCCACGGAGGGCGGCCGCGACCCGCGGACGGAGCCGGTCGCGCTGCCCGGACGGGAACTCGTACTGTCCTCGCACTCGCCCCACGCGCTCTGACACAACAATGCAGTACTTTCAATAATATATAGGATAATAATAATTATCCCAATGTCTTCAAAGTGAAATTTAAATCATTTGTTTCAATCAGACCAATTTTGTACATGATAAAATTTAATATTGCTCGTTATTTGCTCGTTCCATAGTGTACATTTCTATGGACAAGAACGAGCAATAAACTTCAAGGTTACTCTTTGTCAATCAGTTTTACATTATTCTAAGTAAGCCATATGGCAAATGTATGTATGTGTTCTTGTAATAGTATTGTATGTACATTTGCCATATATTATGTGCTATCGCTCATGATCCAAATGTCAGGATTCGTAGAGATAGAAGTCACGGGACTAATCAACACACATGACACACTAAAACAAAACACCTTGGAATTTCGAGTTTTCGATTTATGGAATCGATTGATCGATAAAATTCGATTCCATCAATATAAAACATATTTTTTTAGTTACAATAGCTAGAAACGTACCTGCCAACCCCCATTGGTTTGTTCGGTGTTCTTCTCAGTGTTGCAGTTGGCGTCTACGTTCTTATTGTGTAGCGAAGGATGATCGTCGCCTGTACTGCTGTCTGTATCCGACGCACCGTCCGCTGCAACAAAATAATATGAAAAACTTACTACTTGCATCAACCAGCTTGTATTTCTATTTGTTATTAACCTATCTTAGAATTGTACCATAGCTTTAGAAATCGCAGTTTTACGCAATGTTTTTTTTAGTTTGTCCCACTCACCTTGTTTCTGCAAAAAGGGTGTAGCGGCTCTGTAGTGTTTCACAGTGAGCACGACTATGTCTCCCGCATTCCGGAGAATATTCACCGCATCGTCGTGCTTGCACGCCGTTATGTATTCTCCGTTAACTGTAATACAGATCATTTTTCATATTTAACGGTAATACAAACGAAATCAAAGACTACGATAGGAGTACACTATTTTTTGAGGCGGGAAAAATCATCGAATATCTTTTGTCCCAGGATGAGGCGAGAGGAAGTGTCAAGCTTTTACTGACTAAACCCCCCCTATTCCTTCTCGTGCTCCAGGTTGAGGCCACGGTACGTTATTGCTCTTGCTCCGGAACCCCAGCTGAACATAGGCACTGGCCATCTGTAGTGGTCTAAAAAAATTTTAATCCAAAGGACAAAAAAGAGGTGTACATATTTGACAACATCTACCTTTATTCAGATAAGCGATACCCACTATGATAACTTTAGATTTTTAAGTCTAGTCCAATTTACATTGTAAAATGCATATCATGTAGATTACGAATGATGCACTGAGTAATTATTATAGTTCCGCATAGTAGTGTGCTTGTATTTATAGCATAGCAATGCTCGGTCGCTTGATCCCGGTAATTATATGATCTCTTGCACAATGGCGTCGGTTATGAAATCATCTTTTCTGGATCTAACACTGTTACGTTTAATGACGACGTCGCTGACCTAGATAAACGAGAATACATAGGTTTGTGTCATACTTTAAATATCGTCAAACGTTTTATATTCATGAATGATTTATACGTCCAATAAGAAACAAAAAACAGTTCATCTTTTAAGTTTGTAATCACTAGATAGACAGCTATAGTCTGCAAATCAGACGCGGTGTAATAATACGACTAATAACAGTAACTAAAGTAAATAACTTAATGAAAATCACAACAGATATTTCAAATTAATTCCGTTAATTAAATGTTTATACTGAATTCAAAACAAAGCTAACATTAATTATTCTATCAAGAAACATCGATCAGACAACGGGCAAGTAATACAATATTAAACAAACAATACCTACTGTCAATCATCGTGAAATTTGATTACCCATCTTAAATGGCAATCAATAAAGCTCAAATTTTACCTAAAAACCAACCCAGGAGGAGTAGTCAGAATCCTCTTAATTGCTTTTAATTGTTGCCTCAGTGTAGTATTTGCATCCTGTGGCATCTAATTGCAACTTGTTAAGCAATTGGATGGGACTGGCGTTGCAACTAATTCCAGGAATTAACTGTAATCTACGACTGTGTTGAGGTCGAGAAATGGCGGTGATAAATAATTGGGCTGAAGTTTAGCTCGTATATTCCTTTTACACGCTTTAAGAAACTCACATACTAAACATCACAGTGTAATTTTTGTTTGATAAATATTAATATCTGATTCGCTAACTTTTATGCCTGCTGAAGTTTTTTTTTTCTATATCTTCCTATAAAACCTGTAGAACTCTGTGTTCTACGAGAACCTCTTTTTCATATACCTAATTCTATCTACCCATTTTTTTCTAGTCTTAGTTCTCTTTGCTTAGGTATTGATTTATGCTTGTTCTACAATGTTTGTACACTTTCTCATTATTTACACATCCATGTTTAGTTTTCTAATTTAAAGTACCTACAAATATAGAATCTCGAAACCGCACGTTATATTACCTACCTAAGTATATTTAAGCTCCAACACCTTGTCTCTTGGGACTATCGGAAAAACCTCAATAGATTCGTACCACTGACAGGTAGAATACCTGTTGATATTCATACCTGTTTGCTGTATCCGCGAATTTTAGTTCCAACGAAAATTAATTATTGAAGACAAAAGGTAGGCGAATATTTTATGTCGATATGTTAGCAGCTAATAAAATATTCGCCAGTAGTTCATTAACACGTTCATTTTTGTAGTTAAGTATCTTTTCTTAATATCGATGTGGTAAAACAACTGTGTATCTAATAGAACTTTATTTTGGAGCAGAATTATTGATTTTCTCTATTCAATAGCTGTTTTTATAACTTATTCATTTCGCTTCGCCATTCTTCCCTTTCGTCTTAAAATAAAACGCGTCAATTTCCTAGACATATCCTTGCGAGCTAACGGTAAATCAATACTTAGACTATTTCGATCTTTGTAACCTCGTTTTTGTTTACTCGTTGTTAATATTTATCAGGTCAGTGTACGATGGGAACGTTTCTTTTTCATAAGTTTGGGTAAAGAACTATTTGGATTTTATTAATTTTCAAAAACCGTATCCTAGATTCATCCTGGGTGCAGGATTACTATGTCGTCTCCATATTACGTAGTTTTTTCTTTAAACCTAAGTACTTGTATTTTTGTAATATAAGCCTACCTTTAATAACAGCGTCTCCAACAAAGAGCTGACCGGTCTGGTCAGCCGCCTGATCCTTGTAAATCTTCGAGATGAGGATAGGCAACTTATGTTCAGCACCACCTTTTATGCTAAGCCCCAAACCACCAACCTTCTGCCGCGTAATTTGGACCATTCGCTCCTGAAAATAAAGTAACAGTTAACTATAATTTCTTTCAAAATACCGATATTTAAAGATTATTCACACAGTTGGGCACATATTATTACCCTATATTGAGTGCCGTGGTCCGTTGTCGCGGTTAAACACGTTATTTAATCGGATTTATTTAACGTCAAAAAGTTAATTGGATTCAGTCGTTTTGCATGTCAGTGTGGGCGTCGCGTCACAATACTCAGTAAACATTGTGTTCGAGAAAAATACGTTACATTTAAATCTCCACAAAGGAAACGGAAGTAAACATAGATTAAAAATGTTAAACGTGTTACGTTTTTCATTTGTTATGTACCTACAAAAGAAGCGTGGAAGCGTCTAATTTTAGCGAGGAAATCTTATTATATCAACAATGGGAAAATTTAAACACAGTCCCGGTTTTAAGTTCGCGTCTGTCGGCTTAGCTTCACGGAGATACCACAGCTACCTGCACTAAATGTTTCATTGTGCGTTTAATAATTCACAACTACCGCCCATTAGCTTGCTCCCGGCTTCATGTAAAAATCATTATCTGCGTGGATTTATGTTTGAATTGCTATGGCTACTGCCTCCGACTTTTTAGTATCATGCAGCCCATAATATTTGCAACACGTTTCTGTATTGTACGGCAAATATATCAACTGAAATCATATTGTGATCCATCTTCCATCTTGTAAGCGATCGTAAGGCGAGAGGCGATTTTTGCACTTAATGTTCCTTACAGTACAGTACTGTCACAGTAGGTACCTACGTCTTGCTTAACGTTAACATCGAAAGTATTTACAGTTGTTTTCATACCAATAACCAAATAACCGACGTGACCATCAATTAAATTGTCATCATACGGTCGATAGCTCGGAATATACTATTGTGTTTGAACATATATTTCGTGCTTTCGACTTATTCATCGACACTACAGCAACGATTCTACAAACACTCCACAATGTTTCCCGGCTGAAACATTTCATAATGAGACTGTGAAGTGAGTGCTTTGTAAGTGTGAAGAGGCCAGAGGGTAATATCGGTGACCTATGGCTTTATCATGATGTCGGAAGTGACCCAGTTGTTGCACCTCTAGCTGGTATTATATATCAAAAGCATAGCACTTACACGCGAGAGGACATGACTATTGTGTCACAATACAAAAGACAATAATTGCTCTATCCATTTTAAATTCTCAGTTGACTGTACTAAAATTGTCTTCATGATGATTGACACAACATTAACTAGTCAAACAATAGCGTCGAATGTGATGTGGTATCCTAAATTGCACAATTTTAGAGATATACCTAAGGCAAGTGGATGAGGTCAGTGACCAGTGCTGGATACGTTTTTTTCCTCTAGAAATATTATCTGCATATAGCGATAGTACCAATACCTAGTATGAAGCTAGAAACTCGCAAACTTTAATGACCTTCGTACTATTGAATCAATCAATGATCTATTAATCAACTTGCGCACGTGATTGGCCAATGAAAACTCCATATCAACGGGCAATCTATGGAATTAGTTCGCATGCAATGCAAAAACTACGGCCGTGAACTTTATATTAACTCTGGGCACGTGTTTGTTGATTTGTTTAAAATGCTTTTATAGCGGTTTGTTAGCTGCATGAAGACAAGAATGCCAAATGGTCGGGTTTAATATCAAACAAATCCCAACACACAAGGTTAATGAGTTAGATTTATGTAAACTTGCCACGAAATTAAACTAGTCAGGTGTAATAACACGACCGTAAAAGCTTTTTCAATTAAATCCATGTTTTTAAGTGCCTGTGCTTACATTAGATTTGATCAGCCAAAACAATAATTATGGGCAATATTTTATGGTCGGTGTCGATACAATCAAAACATCAAGGGAATTAATGATAGCAGCCTTTCGAGGGCTGTGCTACATTTAAATTTATTGGTGTGGTATAACATTTTGATAACCATCAGATTTTAATGATATCATAAGAAATGATAAAGGAAAATGTTAATTGCGTCTGTATTTATAATTTACCCGATCTTTTATTTACACTAATGGCAATAGCTTAAGTAGTTAGATTTTTCAACCGTTACAAGTGCCTACTCATGAACTTTTTGAGAGCGGAAAGCATCAAGTGTTTTCTCCTGCCCTAGATGGGGAAAGAGAGGGTCAGACTGACTAACTGATGGACCATTCCGCTCATCCTCCTCTTCAGAGCTGGGGCCGCGGTACTCTAACAATTTTTTGCAAGAATACAATGTTCAGCTGTCAACTATACCGAGTTGCATCTAGATCCGATCAGCCGTTGTGGCGTAAAACAATATTCGTACAACGGATTGTTGCCAAACTAAATGGAAACTGTCTTCAGCTGTTTTTAGTAATGTAGCATGACTTACCCTGGCGTGTGGCACATTCTTATCCTTGGTCGGCTGCACAGGCACAGGGGCCTCGCGCTGTACGGTCACCGCATCCATCGTGAGTACCAGCCGCGCCGGCCTCGGGCGGGACTTGCCGTCCGAGACCTGCACCATGCCTGTACGTATCTGGAAATTGAAGATATTGTCAAAAAAAAAATATATTTTAATGTTATGGTGATTAAGATAGGCAGACAAGTAGACCAGCGTATTTAACAAATACTGTATAGGGGTCATACGTTTGGCGGAGTGGTTGGGTAACTGGTTGCAGCGAAAGGTATCGCAGGTGCGACACACGGCCACAGTTCGAGCACGGTAAAACTCTTCGTGTGATCTACACATAGTTCTAATAGTTCTGGGTGTGGTGTGTATTAAGAATGTTATGTTACTTATGTACGTTATGTTATATAATGTACAAAACAGTACTCAAACAAAATAATACTTACTACTACTTAATTGTATTTTATTTAGGTACATCCATTACATTTTTAAGTTTATAACAGAGATGCCTTAGAATTGAAATTACCCACCCTTTTCTTGAAATCCGGGCTCCATAAAGCTCATTTTTGATATAAATGACAGGGAAGTCTTGTTAATTTTACCATTGATCATTGGCAAACAACAACACAATTTCTATGCAAATATGATAGCGTTGGATGACAAGCCACCATTAGGAATCTATTGTTATGTTGACAAACAAGGAAAGCACCTACCTAATTAGTAATCAATTAGACAGTTATTATTTTTGTTGATTGCTGGTTACACAAATTATAATTGTGCTGTGAAACAGGTTGTTGTATGGGATATGATTGTAATTGTGAATTGTGCTCTGAAATACAATTTAAAAGTCACTTAAGTAGCAGCAGCAGCAAGAATTGTGTGAAAGATGTTTCCTTTTAGTTTAAAAATGTGACTCCACACTAGGATAATCTCCTGTGACATGAGTGTGTTTAAAAACATGCAATTTAATTATGCACTTGACACCCAAACCTCGTGTATCAATTTGTGGATGGATAAAGTTGTTCAGAGCAAGAATCAAAAATGCAAACCAGTTTCACAGTAGCCTGTCAGGCACCATGTCAAGTGTGCAGTAATATACTGTTGGAATTTTCTTTAAATTTGTTTTGCTTGTTGTTTGGGGATGTATTTTAAAACTAGACACATGCTAGTTATTTTGTTGTTGTGCTCCATAGTTATGGTTTTAACGATACAGCTTTGTAATGAATGCTAAATATAAATGTATTTAACCATTTTTGAATAGTAAGAGTAATCTATACTAATATTATAAAGAGGTAAAATTTGTAAGTTTGTATGTAAGGTAAATAATCTTTGGAACCGCTGGTGGAATTGCCAAATTTCTTTCACTGATAGATAGCTACAATGTTCATGAGTGCTATAGGCTTTAAAACATCACGCTACGATCAAATGGAGCTGAGCAGCAGCGAGTGAAACCGCGCGAGAATAGCTAGTAGGTTTAGTATAGAATCCATAGTAAATTTATTAAAAATAACAAACTCACTCAGTTGTTGTTATTTGAAACTATTAATTACAGCTTGTCTCAGTAAATTAACATGAGTAAGTCATAATTTTCAATAAATATCGGTAATTTCATGATTAAGTTTATGAATTGACTAGAAAACCAAATACCGTATCAGAGCCAGAGCCCATAATAAATTTTCATGAAATTGTTTGTAACTTAGCAACCAGCAGATGTGCAATATGAAAACATAGATTTATATTTAGTTTGAATAGTATGTTTTTGCAGTTGAATTCCTGAGTAAAATAAATATTTACTTGTGCAGTCTACTGTGTTTTTATCAATCAATCAATACTTAATGTAAATAAATAAATACACTAACTGTTTTGAAAAAACTCGAAATTTTATGTGTGGGAGAGCCATGCCAGCCAGCACACAATGGTACTCATGGCTTGACCGGAGTGATACCGCAGCCTAATAGATTAATGGTGTGGAACAACACTTAGTTGAGTAAGATACTGGCCGCTTAATTGCCCCCCACCCATGTTAAAACCCTAATTCCATTTTTTATATTTAACATATAAATTTTTGCAGGTAGTTGATGATTAGGAAAAGTTAGTATGCTATATTATTTATAGATATAGAGCTTAAAGGAGCTTAAATATTTCTCTAGCTACATTGACTTGACTAATAATTTGTAGAAATTATTTTTCTTTTTTATTTGAACACTGCACCTCCTTTGTAGGTAATTAATAATTATTAAATATTTCTACTTTATTATTTTAATATTAGGGCAAGGAAAATTATATTGTAATATTATTATATATTAAATATGATTAATAGCAGATCTTTTAATGATTGCTGAGAAAACGACTGGACTGCCTTTGGTTTACCAGATACCACAGATAATTTCTAGGCTTTCATAAATTTTAATAAAGCTGCAGGGTGTCACTGGAGACTGCTGAATGAAATACTTAATTTCAATTAATTAATAATTACGAAAATCTAATGTGATACCAAAAAATTCCAGATCTGCTTACCTTTTCATCTTTCTTCTCCTCAATAGGCGTCATCATTGTAGAACATACACACCATAACGATATAAAAACTTTTGGAACGGTCCAAATAATATAAAACTCGATATCACACTAAAAAATTGCTGGCCCTTGCTGGTCTCGCTAAGTTCAACCACATCACGGTTTCTTGCAAAGAATTTATAATCGAAACTTCATTTCTAATTAGCCGTACTGTTGCTTCTAATGATGATAGATTAATTATTTATGAGTTATACATTACAAATACTAAAAACAGGTCACTGGCATACGATAAATCAATATAGGTGAACGGCATCAAAACAATTGAAATACGACGGATTTACTACGAGTGATTAAGAATTATTAATTTGTAAATTAAATTAAATTGTGAATTCGTAGTAGTTAGAGGGTTTTCATTGAAAAAGTACTTTAATGCAGTACAATAACAAATATTTTCTTGAAAAATTGACGACGGACGACACCACTTCCTATGCGCGCTAAGTACATACTAGTGATGTTCGCGTACCACCCTGACCTGGCTGTCTAATAAAACTAACTAAACCAGAATTGCTATTAGTCGACTTTTTGGTTTTGATAAAATCGATGTCTGGTGGTCGGCCTACATTTTTATTTTACCAAAATAAAAAACTGAATTTTATTCAGTTAATATTAGGTACTATAAACTTACACAAAAGTTTAATTACCAAAGTTTAAACATAATAACTAGTTAAAATATTTTGCCATTACTGTGTGTGGCATAGACTTTTTCATAGATGAGTATAAGTACGTGGACCATATATCTTAATACAAGGTATATAAGGTATATCCACGATGTGCCGCAAAACAACGGAAGTTATTTTAGTCCAGAATACCATCAAGTCATAAAGAGTTCTGGTAGATGGCGCTTTTTTTAGTTTTAATTAAGCGCATTTTATTATTTTCCTAAAATGAGTTAAAATTGTAATTTAGTTAAGTTAATTTGTTTTTTACAGTAATTATATTTTTTTATTATTTACTTGATTGCAGGTATCCATGTGTAACCGCCTAAAAAATCAAGTCGGGTTTAATTCCTAGTAGGATCAGCTGTTTTTAGAGTTCCGTAGTGAACTTAGAACCCTTGTAGTTTCGCCATGTTTGTCTGTCTGTCTGTCCGTCCGCGGATAATCTCAGTGACCGTACTAGAAAGCTGAAATTTGGCACCAATATGTATTTCAATAACGTCGACAAATTGGTAAAACAAATAGTGATAAAAATATTATAATTAGGGTACCACCTACCCCTACACATAAAGTAGGGACAATTTTTATCATTTCAACATATTACGTGTGATATAACATTGGTGAATAGGTATTTAAAAATGATTACCTACGGTTTTACTTAGATTATTTTTGATAATTTTAATATTTTCGGAAATAATCGCTCCATTTTGAACGATATCTAGGTAAGTTTAGAAAATATGGAAAAATGACGGAAGATCATCAAAAATACTTTCTAGGGAAATTATTTTGAACTCAATGGGTTTTGAACATTGTTGGCTTATTTAGGGTTTGGGGAAGTGGAGAAGAGTTGGGTCCGATAACCTCGCTCAAGCGATGAAACATAATGCTGTGTTTGTTTCACGCTGGTTTTCAGTGAAGCCATAGTAGATACCACTCCGGTCGAGACATTTCATTCCAACACCATTAGCAATCACAAAATTAAATCATCGACCTTTCTAGTCTATCTATCCCAGTCAGTACTTATATTCATCTATGATCTATCCTATCATATCTAGTCTTCCTTCTGGTCTGGTCATGGACTAAACATGAAACGATATGATTAAAGTTGTTATTGTTAACAAAGGGCTCGCTATTGATTGTAGACAAAAATACTTACAGGATTAGATACTGAGGAACTGGGAAGCCGTCTGCTCTTTCTGTCAAACAGAAGAAGGATGCGGAGCTCGTGAAGAAACTGTCCTACCCACCCTCTAAGGCTGAGAAGTATTGCTTCTCAGAGGAGAAAGATAAGAGATAAGATAAGAGACAGTCTCAGGATAGCGCACCACGCGACTAGAATCAGATCAGAGCATACAGCGAGTGGTTCTCTGCACGCTTCTTAAAGAGCTAATAGGCCACCACAGAGGAATAGATAGGGCCCATCAGGGCTGATATTCAGCCGGGGATGCGGGTTAAGCGCAATCAGGTACTGCGGCCTCGGCCTGGAGAAGGAGAAGGAACAGGGTGGATGGGTTTTATTCATTAAGACCCTCTTATCTCGCCCTAGGCGAGAAATGACATGATGACATGACAGCACGACTATCACAACTAGTTCGAAGTATGCGACAGATATACTAAAGTATAGTGTGATATAGTAAAGTGTAATATAGAGTGACAGTGAAAATAAAATGTCATACCACAACACACATCTTTATTTCTTTCTTCCGCACTAATATCAATAATTTTATTATTACACAACATGTATATAGAAAGATTTTTATACAATAGTGTATAATTAATACCTATTAACTATATTAATCAACAATATAGTAAAAAGAATTACGAATTACTTAAATACTGGCAGTCTATTTTAATGATATGTATCTTTTGCAGTTTGGAACAGCCATTAACATTACTTAAGATCTACATAATTTCATAAATTAATTAATGAGTTTATTATAGTTTCAAAATATATTATGTGCATCTGATTTTACACGCCATGCGTAGACTTTTTTGAGAATTTAGAAAAACCTCAAATGCGCATACGATATTTTTAAATAGAAGGTTTTGCTGTGAGATTATTTAAGCACGTTATTTATAATATACTTTTCAAGGCTTATATTTCTTCTATAAGGACAGCAATTAGTTACTTCTCCACGATGATTTATTTGTAATAAACCTCACAGCAAATGAGTAATTTTCGTTAGACTTAACATCTGCTAATATTTACAATTCATTAGATGCCATATTTTATAAATCTAAACTGTCACAGATTAACAGTGTTAAATAAAATCACATTGTAATAAATAATTTAGTTAACAATTTAACATTAAGATAATGGGGTGCCACAGTTTGTGACGTAATCACATGAATGAATTAAGCCCTTTTTACAAACAATTGACGGCAAACGAGTCGATTAATTTCTTTCTTAATCATTTAATAGAATATTTTATCCAATCGTAGAATTCATTATAGAAAATGTCCTCTTCATTAATTAGTAATTAAATTTCACAATGTGTGAATGGACTTTCAAATAGAAAATTATTTAAAAACACTAATGTTACACGTGGATTGTACATTCTCGCCGTTCTTGTTCTTTTCTTTGCTGATATCTGTGGACAGACGAGATATGTAAGTGAACAAATATTGATTTTCTAAGTACTATTAAAATATATTAAGTAATGATAACAACAAATAAGTAATTTAGAAGAAGGTAAATAAGTGTGGATAGTTGTGACTCATCTCTTTAAAATGTCTGCTATCTTAAACTTCCTTAACGCAATTTCCAAATAGATAAATTAGAGAAGTAACTTAAAATCTTACTTGTCAATTAAAGAAGATATATCAGCGGGGACCGGGGCGAAGCTCCCCGAGAGGCCGTCGCTCCCGTTCGGGCCTCCACTGTCAGAAACATAATTATTTAATTACCTTCTGCTAGTTGGTGGGATAGCAATTAAATTAATTAAAATTGGTAGGCTAAGTTCGTAGCAAAGCCGGTTAGTCGTAAGCTTCATGTTGGGTACATTCTGGTGCCAGTAAAATAAAACACTTAACACAAAACGATTGTTTATGAATGGGTATGAAAATAATCTTATTGCTTTTTAAAACAAAAATACATAATCAGCAACAGCTACCACTACTTTATGTGAAACGTAGAACCTTTCTACTGCGGCTACAAAATAATTGCTTCCTGTTTAATTTAAACAAACTAAATCAATATAAAATTATGATAATTAAATTAAAATGGAAGTGCATGGATAAGGTGAGCGGTGAGCGGCGAGTGGTGAGGAGTGAGCGGGGGAGGTACCTGAGTTCTACCTGCTGGTCGTGCGGGCGCTTCGCCTACCACTGCCGTATGCACTGTTGCAGGGTGACGTACCAGAACCTGATCAAAAACAAAAAAAAATATGCAATGTATGATACGTAAAACCCAACCCATTTCATAACTTCAGGAAATTAATGGCTCTACATTTACAAACATACAATTTCACATACATATCAAACCCAGCCTCTGCTTGATCTGCGCAGGAATCGAACCCGTGACACGTTGCGTGACAACTTGTCTAGCCACCGCACCAACCGTGCACTCAAAAACCGGGTCTTAAGTAACATTTACTGAAAACTGTGTAAGTTTCAACGATAATCGTGATTATTACGGTTAATTGAATATTATGAAGAGAAATTGCCAGTAGCTCAAAGGTAGGCAGAATTAAAATTACCCTTAGTAGTAGTATTGGCAGCACTATCGCTATTGTCGTCAGAGTCCGTGTGCGTATCCCTCCAGTTATTAGAGGGCGCGCCGCCCCCTGCGCTGGCGCATGCAGCGCGCATGCGGTGCCGTGCCTCCACTGTCGAGCATTTAGACAGACTCGATTCATCTGTTGGTACAATAATCATACGTCCAAACCAAGCCAACGGTCGGCTTATTCTTTGAGTACATAAATATAATGCATTAGTTCTTATATATATAATGCTAGCGGACCTTCCCCGAAAACCCCTACACATTAAATCATTGGGCGCCATCTGCCGGGCTGATTTGTTAAACTAAACCATCCAGGGCGTCACTATACCCATATACAGAAAAAATCAGAATTAATCTGTCAAGCCGTTTAGGAGAAATTCAATGATAGACACAAATTCGGCTGAATTATATATATAAAAAAATGCAAAGAAACTTTTCTTCAACGTTTTGTGATTTTATTACACAATCTTACTATCTCAAATAGTAAGATGTTATGTAACATCACTATTTAAATAATTTTAAAAATAAAACGTAAAGTATTTTTACCGCACAAAGAAAAACAGAAGTTTAATTTAAAGAATTTTATACTAAATAATATAATGTTGTATAATTTTTGGTGATAAAATATTTTTTTTTGTTTATTGTCTACTTAACGTTACACCTACAAGAAGCAATAACAAAAATAATATTGAAATTATTAAAAGTAAGTAATTAGAATTTACCGTATCTGTAATGATCGCATGCGCGATGCCGTCGACGGTGTGGTGGCGCAGCGTCGTCTTCACGCCTCGCGAGCGTTCGAAACTGCAGCGAGTGAGCCGCTGACACGCCGAACGTCGCGTAAGGACTAATTTCGTACAACTCCGCTGTAAAATATAATTGTTAAGGCTAATAATTTGCATCATTTTTGCTTATAAAACCTTTTGTTTGGAGGTAGTAAAAAGGTGATGTAAGTAAGTATTTCAAAGTATTATAGCTAACCTGAGGAGTCGTCATTCGATTTTTCGTTTCCATTTATAGACGAAGACGAATATAGTTTCTGTCCTTCTCTAAGTTTTTCTCTTTCCGCTTCGTTGCTTTCACTTAGCTTTCTGTCGTCTCTCATGTAATGGTCACTTGAAATGCAGAAGAATCTGTAACCGAAAAGAAACATACATAGTTGTTTAGAACTTTGTGATTTTCTATTTTTACGATCACCAATGTATCATGCATATTATTAGGCATCTTTAACAGAGAACTTTTGAAAACCGAAAATTTTCATAAGATAACTATCATGAAACAACGCGAGAAGAAATCCAGAAAAAGATATTTTAGAAAAAGATATTTTGTAATCTTACTTCTTCTTTCCATGAACGAGACAAATAATGGCGGCGAGGGTAACGACTATGACGACACCACTGGCGACACATGACACCAGCACGGTGCGCATCGAGGCTGGCCGGGACGCCCCCGATAGGGGAGATGATGGCTTTATTGGGGGGATGCGACCTGAAAAACGATGAGAGATGTTGATGTACATACCTATCTACATATAATATTTGCAAAAATGCTAATCACAGAGAATAAGTGACTGACCGATTATTACACTACCTACATAATTATATTTATTTCGGTACGGATCAACTGTTCTCCGGTTGGTGTTTCGCGTTGGATTATCAAAAAATGATGAAACTTAAAATAAGAAAATTGATCTCTTACCTCCTGCGAGGGTATGGGTATCAGCATTTAGAGTGACCCGCTCCATGCCTGCATCGCTGAAGGCTTCCACGGCCAGCTCGTACCAAGTAGCTGGCGTCAACTCAGCTACTACATGGCTTGCTGAACTTAACCCATCACCAACCTGCAACCATTGATATATGAACAGGTGATGAGGTGAATAGAATGCATGGCTACATCTACCTCAAGTTATATCAGAAAAATTAGGATAAGCTAAGCACCAAATGATCATAAGTTCAGTGTAAACGAATACTAAATACTTCCTACCTTGATCCAATGTTCTGATCCAGCTCTCCGGTATGACACCCTGAAGCCCAATATGGGACAGCCACCGTCACGCCACGCATAGAAGTTTATTTTTATTGCTGTCGAGTTCATATGGACATGATCCTCTGGTTTTGGTGGTTTGGGACCTAACACAAAAAAAATTCAGTTAGTTACTTAGTTTTAATGTCTTCCTATAAGCATGTGACGTCATCCAGTAACTATTTATATTATTTTTAAACTCACATCGAGATTAAAAATAATATAATATAATATTCATAAAGTGACTCTAATCCAGTAGCAATTAGGTACATAATGACACCTATAATCAAACTGTGATTTTTTCATTTCCATTAAAAAAAGTTAACTCACGTCCTCCCCTTGTGGTGGCAGTCAGTATATCACTGGGAGGTCCGATAGATATCCTGTTCCGAGCTTGTATCTTCGCATTGTATGTAGAACCGCACTTGAGCATGTCCATTGTGTAGGAGTTGACTTCGGGAGACAGGTCTACTGTGTGCCACTCGCTTTCTGAAGCTTGCTTATAGTGGAGGAGAAAACCTGAAAAGGATAAGCAAGACTTGAATATCTCTGTCAGTCTTATAGCGAAGGTAGGTTTCCAGGATCTGCTCGTTCCAGAAATTGGATTTCTATAGTAAAAGACCATTGTGGTGCTAGAATCATTTAAGGGATTAATGAGTTTGTGAATATCATACCTAATATAGGTTCTGTAGTATCTCCAGGCAGCTGCCAGTGTAGTTTGATGCTCGAAGTAGTGGTGTACTGCAGGGAGAGTGTGGGCGCTGCAGGAGGCATGATGGCTACCACCACGTACACTATCGTATCTTCTCCAATCGTGTTGCTCGCTGTACACGTGAAGTTTCCGGACGACTGCTCATTTACTTCTGTTGTTGAAATAATGAAAAAGTTTATCCCTTTGTCACAACTTGACGATTTTTTCCATGAACTTTAAGATTCAATGCATTAGGAGTAAGCTAGTAGTCTAATATTTAATTTGCCAAAATGAGCAATCGTATCGAGATCACTTGCTCAATCGTCACTTTTGAAACCCCTTACCAGCCATAAGGAATGTACAAATGTATCGTATAATATAAAAATGTTGTGTTTCGGTGAAATACCTCGTATGTGCAGATGTCCTCGATGCGTGACCTGGTAGTACTGGTGGTGCGTGACGGGCAGACGCGCGTGTGCCCAGCGCGAGCGCGGCGCGGGCGCGCCCACGCACGTGCACGCCAGCAGCGCGCTGCGCCCCGCGCCCACCCACACCCAGCGACCGAACGACGCGATGCGGGCCGGGACTGAAACAATGAAACAATACTACTATTACTTGTATTTCATTCAGGTAAGACAGACACTCTCTCTTACTAACTCTGTACCTTTCTTTCTCTTTTTAATTGGACCTCCTTATCTCTATAGCTAATTAGTAATTAGAATTACCCACTGATATAGATATAGAAATAGGAAATCGACTTCCTGACACTTGTTTCTTCCCCAATGGTTACTTTTTTATGTGATAGGTCGGCAAACAAGCATACGAATTACCTGATGATAAGCAATCAGCGCCGCCCATGGACACCCGCAACTATGGAGGAGTAACGAGTGCGTTGCCGACTTTTTGGGGATTAGGGATTAAGAGATTTTGGGAATGGGGAAGGATTGGGGGAGGAGAAGGATTGGGCCTCCGGAAACCTCACTCACACGTTCACGCTGGTTTTCTGTGAGGCTGCGGTATCACTCCGATCGAACCAACCCATTCGTGCCGAAGCATGGCCCTCCCACACTCTACTCCTTCAATCACAGATTATTGTTACCATCACTTACTTCTAGAACTAGGTCCCTGACCGACCACGAGCGTGGATTCTCCTTCCCCAGAGCCCGTAGTGGCTGACACCCAGAACTCGTACAACTGGTTCTCCATTAGGTTCCGCACTTGGAACATTAATTCTGTGTCGGTTTTCTTGTCTGCAGGTACTGTGAAACTTGAGTGCTTGCCCAAACTGTAATCAATAAACAATAATAATAATATCATGCATTCATTTTACTGACTGTAGCATAAAGTAGCTATATGGATTATTTACCGTCCCGCTTCTCTGTAGTATACGGTGTAATGCGATATAATCCCGTTAGGATGGACAGGCGGCAACCAGCTAACGAGCACGGAGTCGCTGGAAAACGCTAGTGCTTTGATTTTCTCAGGCGCTGAAGGAACTGCGGATCGAAGGACCATAATTAATAATCCTAATCATTTTGTTGTGTTTAGTGTTGTAGTGACTCAGTATAATGAATATTATAATTTACTTTATATATTTTGTTAACTTACCATCTTCCTCTGTCATGCAGTAGACCGGTAGGCTCCTTTTGCCATCCCCAGCATTTGTAAAAGCAAGTACTTGTATAGAGTAGTTAGCGTATTTACGTAGAGTGTGTAGGTATGTGTCTGTTGTCGTCACACGCTTTATCTCGCCGACGTCCACTGAAACAATCATTGCATTTACATTAACACGTAATTTTGTATCTAAATTACATATTTTGTTCATCGGTGGTCCGGAGTTTAAGGTAACCGCATCTCATGTATGGATGACGTTGGTAGAAAAGGGTGTGGATTCAAAACTTGGCGCAAGTACCAACGTGACTTTTTTTAATTTATATGGTACTTTGTATGATTATTTACATACTACTGAAATACGATCAAGGAAAACGTCGTTACAACAGTCGTACAGTTAGGTAAAAACAGGCCAAGAAAAACCCACGAAGGTTGAAGCGCCTATCACATATGAGTTGTCATGGGTCCTACAATAAAAATAATAATAATGGAGAAGTCGAAAAACAATTTCTTACCATGATCTGTTGTTAAAGGTGAGTAGATGACTTTGTATCCTTGTATGAGGCCGCCATGTTGTCCAATTGGTGGCGGGTTCCATGACACTTTCATACTGGAAGACGATAGAGCTGAGCAGGATACTCTTGTTGGTGGTGATTCAGGTACTGGAATTTATAGAAAAAAAAATGAGAAACAAAATGTAATGGTTAAAAAACCGTGCCAAGAGCCTTTCAAACACACGGTATAGCAGTTAAATTATTGACAATGTCTATTAAAAAAGATCTTCATCATTATCAGCTTAATTTCGTCCACCGCTGGACATAGGCCTCCCCAATTGTACGCCATTTATCTCCATGTTCAGCTCTTCTCATCTAACCACTACCAGCAACCATACGGATATCGTCAGTCCACCTAGCTGGAGGGCGCCGTACACTACGTTTGCCTAGACGTGGTCTTAACTAGTAATTAAAAGACTTAAAAAAAATAGCTGTTAAACTTTTACCTCCTTCCAAAGTTGTAGCGGACACTGGCGCGGACGCAGGTCCAGCCGCGACGCCATTGAATGCTCTTACACGCACTTCATATCTTGTAAACTTGCGCAGTGCAGATAAGCTCAGCTCAGTAGCGGACCACCCGTTGACTGTTAATGTTCTGGAAGGAAATGGAAGGACCTATGAGTGATAAATAGAGAGTGATCACCAACAGCACTTACAATATAAAGGGTCATATGGTTTTAGTGTAACAAGCATTTAGCATAGCATTTTAAAAAACTAGAATTCTTCGGATGGTGTCATTAAAAATGTTAATTGTAATACTTATTTCAAGTTTTCTTCTAAATGCTTATAATATTTATTACTGTTAAGGACCTGGTAGAATTCCTAAGAGCTGGAGAAGCCGGACTGAGCTCCACACAAGTGACGGAGTAGCCCAGCAGCTCCCCATGCCAGGCATCGCGTGGTGGTGGCCGCCAGGACACGTGCAGCTCCCCGGGTCCGCCAGGTGTCACGTGCACGTTGGTTGGTGCTTCTGACGGAGCTGTGATGAGAAAATGTAAGGTGAGATAAATGTAAGAGACTATCGTGTTGATAAATAATTAAAGTACATTAAGAATAGTAAAGCTATTCCGACGCCGTTGAAGCAAGTTTACAACGAGTCTAAATCGCAAAAACTGCCTCGGCCTTGAGCTGGAGAAGGAACGGGGTGATTTTAGTAAGTAACAGTCTGAAACTCTCTGTCGCACCAGCCTGGACGAGAAGTACTTTGATGACTTCCCACTGAAAATCAAGTGCCTGGCATTTGTACACTGCACCAAATCATAATCCTAAGAATAAGTCTACTTCATAAGTTTTTCATTGTTACCTTCCTCTTGAGTTTTGACCACAACTGGGTCGGTGTACGCACTCCTATCGATTTGGTTAATAGCAGCTATCCGGATCATATATGCGGTATGTGGCTTGAGGCTGCCCAGCAGAGCTTCATAATGTATATCACCTTTCTTGGTAAGGCTGGAAAGTATTACAAGTTTTATTAAGCCAATCGCATATTTACATAATGGTATACCAAAGGCAACAAGACCAGATCGATGTTTTATTACTTAAAAAAATTAAAGGCTTATTTTTATTAATTGTTTGTTTTAATAATTGGAATAGGAGCGGTTTAAAAATATTTTCAACTTACGTAACATGCGAATGTGCGATTCCATGGACGGAAACGTTAAGTGTAACCGCAGCATCCCACTGGTTGACCCTGATGGCTCCTTGAGCTGATAGAGCGCAGTACTGCAGTGTGTAGCCCACTAGAGGAGAGTTTCCATCGAAGCCTTGACTCCAAGACAGACGGACAGCGCGGCTTAGAATCTCCGTTACAGACAGAGAATGGGGTGTATCAGGTTTTTCTGAGGACGGGAAAAGAGGTCATGATAATGACGGGCTTATATTATAAGAAATGGGAGTCACGCTTCGGCAATAATGGACCGACTTTAGTAAAATCTCGGCCTCACGCAAAACTGGCGTAAAATAATTAAAGCGTTTCGCCATGTGAGTGAGGTTACCGAAGGCCTTTTCCTTACCCTCTAGAGGGAGGGCCTATCAAATCCTTGAATCTCTAAAACTATCAGCAACGAACTTGCAACTCCTCCGTTGTATCGGGCGTCCATGGGAGGCACTGTTTGCTTACCACCAGGTAATCCACCTACTCGTTTGCATATAAAAGTAAGGTATCACTTAAAAAGAAAAAGAATAGTAAGATGTTGTTGCTAAACTGACCTTGGACGGAAAGATAAATGTAATGGTCACTGTGACCGTACGCGTTTACAGCTTGACACTTGTACACTCCGGAGTCCTGCCGGTCTGCCCGGCTGATGTACAACTGGGATCTTAAACCACTATCAGTCTTTGCTTCTGAGATGCTTAACCTAAAATAATTATCACAGAAATAAATAGCTTTACTGAAAGTCCAATTGAGAAGAATAAAGATAAATAAGGAGTTATTGAACTTAACTTACCTATAAGTATTAAGATCTAAGTGGTTCATGTTGTGTGCCCAAGTCACTCTGATGGGGCTGTCTCCGCGCACATCGCACACCAGCGTGGTGGGCGCATCACGGCGCGCCGTCATATTGTGAGACGTCAGCTCAAACCTTGCAGGTTCTATGAAAACAATATTAATATCCAGCGCATCTTGGAACAAAATACCTGAAGAAAATGTACATTACAACTTACCGTTGACGGAAACGAATATAGTTTTGGTAAGTGCTGATCCGACACCATTCTCGGATTTGCACATGTAGTTCCCCTCGTCATAGGGGAGAGCTGACTCAATCCAGAGTGTTCCATTTGATAGGAACTGAAACCTGCCACCCAGGTTTATAAGAGGGACGTAGTCTGTTGATGACCCTGAAAAGCAGGAACGAGCTTAATAAGTACTTAGAAAAAAGAAATGGATCAGTTACCTTAAACCCTAATTTTTAGGGCCTTGACTTTTCATTAAAGAATGAAAATTGTGTTTTATGGCTTCCTTCTGTGCTTATTTTTGGCATTCGTTTGGAACACGTGCGAAAATGCTTTAAGTAATGTATTCTAGATATTTTTAACCTACCTCTCTGCTTCAGCCAAGTGACTTGTGGTGCTGGCGAACCTGTGGTCTGACAGTGCAAGGCCAGTGGTTCACCAGCCAGCACCGCCTCATCCTTAGGTTCCACCACCCACTTGGGGGAGACTGCAGCGTGCAAGGAAGTCAACTTACGTTTATTTCTGGATTCAATACAGAATTAACATTTTAACATGGCATATTTGCATATGCAAGAATAGGTTAGACAAGGTCTAGGTACATTTTAAGGGCTTATTCAAATAATTTATCTGCCTATAAGATATGTACTATACAGACGTAGCAACTTCTGTTGTAAGCACGTAGTCATTCATCAGACGCTAAGCGAAAGCCGGCGTTCGTCTTACTCTTATGTATCGAATTACCACGATTTAAAGGTTAAAGACGACAACAAGTATAATAAATAGAAGTTTTAAAATTGAATTCAATATCTTTGTACTGTCTTTTTTTTTACAACATCACTGTTAACAGGTTTGTGAACACTTAAGTAAAGTAAAAATAGAGTAAAATAATGTTGCTTCGTCTGCAGAGTGCTTTCACCAGTTATTTGCATTTTAAAAAGAATTACCTTTCTTCAGCAGCTAAATATTGTTATGAAAAAAATACTTATGTTACGAAATCTATAAACATATTCCTTTTTCTTAAACTAAATATATTGTGATAAACTACGCTGAATTTCATTTTGTTAAATCACCTTAATATCTACTTATATTTTATTCCCAATCTTCGATAAATTATTTGAAACATAGCTATAATAATGTCATAATAATATTTTCGTTATCATCTTAATAGGAAATCAATAGTATAATGCCCCTACTTCTGACAGGTTGACAAATTGTCCTAATTGGATGATCTATTAAATCTTGAGTTAATTATAATTTAAGACAAATACTGTCACTTTACAACATCATACAAAATTATTCAATTTAACATTTATTTTAATGCCTTCGTTTATCTAGTGAATTGATACATAAGAGGTTAGTAGCTTCTATTGTTTTTAGTTATATACTATAATATATCAGTTGAAATATTAATAAACGTACATATTAACTTTAATATTTCACCATCTCCATCCGTATTGAAAACGTATCGATTAGGTGGTCTCATTGCGACTTTTGCGTAACAGATTCGCAAGAGTTTCAAATATACATTATAATTAAATGCATAAAGTTAAATAACTTTGAATCGAAGACGTCCAAAGTGGAGATACTTATAAATAAATTTACCATTTTCATAAGCCATCTGAAATCCAACGCTGTGCAAAACAAAAATGTACAATAATTTATACTGTTTAGTGACAAAACGTTTACCGAGGAATAAATGTGCGCTGTGAGTACGAGTAAAGTGCTTTTATAAGAAGTGCATTTATTTGCGATGGTTTTATTCGATTGCTATTATTGGAATTTTTACTTTCAAAAATGAAACGTTAAAATTATTTTCAAAAATGGGCGTCAAATTGGATTGAAACGAAATTAAATAAAGTATTAAAAATAAATAAAGCCATCGTTATGTGCACTTGTCTGTACAAGAGAACTACTCATCGTGGCAATATTGTGATCCTGCAAAGTAACCAGCATACAATATAGACAAAATAATGACAACTCGGTGCTCTGTGCAAGCGTGATTAGCCTCTTTGATGATGGCAGCGCGGCGGTGGAGTACCTATGTATATGTACACTGACGGAGCGTGCACCATGTAAACAAAGCTTTTATATCAATTCGCTTTGTTCAAGTGGCAGCAACGACAACAACAGTAATTTAATATCTATTTACTTTATTTTCATAAATATTTTCATTTGAATAAGTTAGTTAAAATCGGAAAATTAAGCTTGTTGTTCTCGTCACGTGAGAACTGGTTTTAACGACCAAAATTATGTAACCTTCTATAATAAAATATGTCAGCAAATGACCTAAAGTGTAATAAAATATCTAGCTAGGTAGACTCCATCCGTCCCCGCGCTTCCACATCATATGGACATCATGACGGTGCTTGGTGCTCTGGTGCATATTGACATGGCGGTTACCTTTGACCACCAGTTCGGCGGTATAGTTAACCTTGGCCGCGGTATTGGAGGCCACGCAAGTGTACAACCCGCTGTGCCGGGCGAACACCTCTTTGAATACGAGGTTGCTGAAAAAATCAGCACCCCGTTCTTCCACCTACACAACCAGGCCAGGCTTTGAAGATTTGCTCAGGTAAGTTAGTAAACAGGGAGGTATTTGTTGCAATAAACATGTAGCCTGGGTTTGAAACAGACTTGAAGAATATTGTATCAATCGGTGTAGAGTTCTATATAACTGACCTGTAAGCTAGAAGGGATGGGTGCGTTGTCCTTGAGCCACGTGAAATGGACAGGCATATCGCCTGACGTTACGCTGCAGCTGACTTGTGCACGCTTTCCTTCTTGCAAGTTGGCAGAAAATGAGAATGGCTCTATTTCTGGAGGATCTAAGATAATTACTTCATGTTAATAACCAAAATCATTTTAAAATTAAAATTCAGTGGACGATTGTGTATTTAAAATACTTACTGCTAACAACAAGTTGCAGTTCTCGCCTGGCTATCTCCCCATGTGGGCCCATCACCGCACAAGTGTAAGCTCCTGCATATGATGGCTCGACTCGAGACACTTTGAGGGCACCATCAATACTGCTGTCCCATTCTACTGGGTTACCATCTCGCTCCCATTTCACTGAACTGAATATAGACACAGTTGTAAGAAAGGTGATTTGCAGTCATTGCTTTATAGTTTAAAAACTTGATTAAAATATTATGATCTTACCTGATTGGATAGCCAGAGTAAGGGCAATAAAGAACCAGCTCTCGTCCAGCTACTGCCCGAATTGGACCTATGGATCTCACATACGGTGGACCTGCAATGAGGTTTTCAATACGCAAATTAGCCAATTTTATCATACTAAGATACTGCTGCAAAGCGTATATAATAATGCCTCACCATATATATTGAGTCTGGATGTATGGGACACTTCTCCAAGTGAGTTAGCTGCTCTGCAGGTGTACAAGCCTCCGTCTTCAGACCGTACGGCTGAGATATTCAAATAGCTCACTACATCATTCGTTTTTGTCGCGAACTGTTCCACGCTGTATCTGCCAAGGAGGATTTTGTTACAAGTGCATATTATAACCGTCTTTACAAATGATATACAGCGAAACCGCTTTGTTCCACATACCTGTGTCCTCTAGCCATAGTGTTCAGCGGCTGCCCATCTAGCATCCAAGTAAAGTGAGGTGGAGGTGAGCCAGCAGCGGAGCATTTAAGAGTTACAACCTGTCCAGGTCGTAAAACCTGCTCTATGAATGTGTACTGAAGTTCTGGGGCTGTGTCTGTGTAGAAAGATAAGCATTTTACTCCAAAGAACCCACAAAAATACTGTTCATTGTTGAAAATCAAAATTATCTATCATTCCTATTAGTGAAGATAACTGCTCATTCTAAAGTATAGGTAGTATCGTAGAATTGTATGGAAAAGAAGAAGAAAGAAAGTCAAATGTCGATTTTTGAAAATACACTTCACGGTATTATAATCTGCGTCTTATTTTAATTTGTTCGTATTTAAATGAATAACGTAATACCTATGTTATTAATAAAGATTTATTATTAACTAACGTAACTCACCTCCTAACCTCAGCTCAGCGCTAGCTTGAGCGGAGTCCCTCTCATTCCTGGCCATGCACTGGTAAACTCCCTTGTCAGCTCTGTGCACGGAAGAGATTACCAGCTGCTCCCCATTGTTTTGCACCCTGACCCTGCCCCCCGCCACTCCAGCACCGAGTGGTACTCCATTGTGCAGCCACTCCAGTCGAGGGGCCGGCCACCCTCCCCACGTGCAGTTGATGATAGCAGTGCCACCACTATTCACGACCTGAGGAATATAAATAACGGTCCAGCATACGTAGTAACTTTTACTAAATGACGTTCATAATAGATTGAAAAAATATTCAGTAAATTTTATTTCCATGATAAATTAAAAGAGACTCAAAACATAAAAGAATTCTCGAATCTAAGTGAAGCATTCTTATCTTTCTTTTTCTTTTTCCCCCGTTTGGAAGTCACTCAAACAAATACATACATACGCAATTACCGTGCGATCATAACGGAAGAGAAGGTTTATTTGCTAATAAACGACACTATTTGCTTTTACGACGCCTCGTTTAATTAAACCGAATATATACGCAGAAATATCAATAATTTTGTTACAAACGCCGATCTACATGTAAGGACACTCCACTTAACGAAAACTCGTATCTATAACTACCATGTTTTTGTACCAACGAAAGTACGCCAGACATCCAGTAAAGACCTTTTTCAATATTCAGAGAAATATTTTTATTTTGATTACAAGTACTTTGCGACCAACATATCAGTTCGTCCCGAGCCAACCAAAGCATTATTTCAAAATATGACAAAGATAAAGTACCCTTTTACCTATATTTATGCTACAATAAATCAGAGAGTTTGTCGGTATATTTTATCTTTATGAAAATGTAGCTACGTATGTAGATGTTCACTCTAACTATTACGGTCCACAGTTACTTAGCTGTGGACGTTATAAAAACCTTTTCTTAAGTAGGTAGCAACTTTTTCTTTTACAAAATGAAAATCTTTCTTCGGGTTATACAGACGCTGAAGCTTTACTAATTTCCACACTTAATTAGTTCGTTGGTGCACAAAAATACTGTTAAATTTTACAAGTAGTACATGTATTTTATAAAGTAGGTACTAGGTACACTCTTTTTAGTTTATAAATATTTATAGAATTCAATTTTTAGTATGCGTACCTGTTCATTTAGGTAAATAGACGCTGTTCATAAAATAATATTAGAGTATTATTAGGTATAATAACATGTATACCTCTGTAGCATGTGTGTCAACCCTATCTATAATTGCGCGCGTAATGTTTGCGGCTCGGTATCGGGACGTATTTATTTTATTTTACGTCGCAAATATCCTGGCGGCAGTAAGTTCGCGCTGTCACAATAAAACCTCCAAAATGTCACGTATTTTTTAAACAATCGTCCATGATTGCTATTTATTTTGCCTGATGACCGCATTGCCTTACAAATTTATCATAAATTGTAGCACGTATTGTTTTGTTTACTCATTACATCACAAGCATATAGAATATTTTTTCTACAATTATAAATCCTTCTGTAGAGGTGGTGACGAAATGTTATTATTAAACTCATTGAGTACTGATTTATAAGATTCTAAATTAATTGAGTAGCACGATGTCTCCCAAGCCTAGGTTCTAATTTATATGACATTCAGTAAACAAGAACAACAGTAGTCAGGTCCTATACATTCACTCAAAACATGGCATTATGATTGTATGAGTGTCAGCTAAATCAATAGGAATACCAGTGTTGGATAACGTCAGCGATCGAGCGATACGGGACTGCAATCAGCACCTATTTCGCACATCCGAGCGATCATTTCGTAGAATTACGAGAACATTTCACTGACTGTACACTGATTTTCCACTGCGATAGCTCTTTATGTGGCAAAGCAAGTTATCATTGTATCATTGTATTGCACACCCGCTGCTTTAAACCATTGTGTTGCGATTCATATTTCAATTTACGCTATTAGTTAATTCTTTTATGAGGCTAAGCTTAGCTTAGTTAAAGACATTTTGTTATTTTAGACTAGATCAAACTGCTCTTTTGGTATAAAATCTGTAAGCGCGATTGCTGAGCAAGGGGGTCTCAGGTTAAAAATGTAATTTGAATAAAAAAACTAAAATGTTGTATAAAGAAAACGTTCTAATTAAAAAAATCTATTCTACCAATTTTCGTGTAGCAACACGCAACAAGCTACAAAATAGCGTCTCAGCATCACCTCTATATAGTCATGTAGTTACAACATAGCGCTGCTGCAAAGGAGCGCTCGTTTTCACTTCAGATTTTATCTGTCCGCAGACACGGAAGCTGTGCACTACATTTTAGCCAAAATACATAGTAACCAAACAAGAATGCCGAAAGTGAAGTTTTAAAAACTTCAACGAATACGGACATTTCAGGTGTTGTATGTTTTATGGACATTCTGAAGACGTATTCTTCAGAATGTCCTGAATTGATATAATTATGTGTGGTTTGATAATGTTTCGAAGATTTTTACTTACTCCAAATGCGGATATTTAGACCATAAACTACTCTGGTTGAGGTTCATGACAGCGAGGTTCTGGATTTAAACTCATCTAGTATTTTCAACTGAATTTAATACTTTCTTCGTATCATCTAATAACTTTTTCCATCTTGGTAGACAAGAGGGAATGTCTTCCTTGCTCCAAGCCGGGACTATCATTGCGCCATACCTGCAATCCCAGCTGATCTTGCTTAAAATAAGCAATTGAGTCCAAACTCTGATAAAGAGTTAAGTTGTGTAATTTTTTCTTACATTTTTAGTACTTTTTTCTACGATCTGTAGAATCCGAGCAGTGGGCGAAACAGCGCGAGAGTAGCTTTAATATCTACTACAGTTACAGTTTACAAGTAGCTGAGTAACTACTCATACTTAGCAACTCATCAAACATACTTTCTACAGTACGTTAGTAAGTAGCTACTACTGTAGTTTCGCACAGTAGGTATCCTTTTGATCAAGCAATTAATTATTGAGAGAACACTTAAACATTACCTAGGCCCGAAAATAATTGAGTAGTTACCTACCTACCCTTACGAGGGATTAATTAATTCTGGAAGATGTTTTAAACAAACTTAATTACAGTGTTGGTCCTAGGTTGTATTCTACATTTGCAAAATATAAGATTACCATCAATGTACATAATCCCGAAATCCTAGCATATTTGGCTTTGAAGCAAATCTGAATCAGCCTTTCCAAATTAAAAGCACCGGTATCACAATTTCCGAATCTGCATCAATATTCAGCATCCACCCTGCTTCGACTCGAAATTTGTGATCCTCGTGTTATTTTCTCATCGGCAGCACGGCGTGACAAATAAAAAACCCAGTCACACGTTATTCACGTCACGGATCACAGCTCAGCGCCAGAAAAAGCAAACATCTTCCACAAAAACACAAAAATCGCAGCTTTAAAAATCGGATTGCGTGTAAAAATAGGCTAAATAAATATTTAATTGGATAAGCGAGGTTAATCTTGGGAGGCAGTTTAGGTCCGCTCTTCCAACTACAATATTTACAAAGGTCTGCAAATAGTGGAGCTGTTGAAGAAAGAAGTTGCTTTTATTGAATTAGATCGGATCCGTAACGATGTTACAACGATTCGGGATTGGATGGTGTTCAATTGGATTGTATCTAAGGGCACGGTACAATCAGGCCGGGCCTACGAGCTGACTGGACACGCCATGCCAGGGTATGTGCTCGAATCAATTCTTCACCTATGAACCTTTATCGAAACATATAGCTGGCAGATTGAAAACTACATTTAACTTTATCAAAATATTATAAATACTTCCGCCGTCGGGTTTCCTATTCCACATTCGGTATAAATACACAAAAAACATACGCGGTAGGTACCGCGTATGTTTTTTGTGTATTTCCGTTTCAGTTATTTCAGTTTGTTTAGAAGTAGGTACTTCTAAACAAACTTGAGAAGACAGGTAACAGAGCCTTCGGACGTCATTTCAAGAAAAAACGTCTTATTGTATGTAAAACAGTGCTTTTCCAAAATTCATAACATTTCTGTCTCACTGTAATTTTCAATATATTATTTGAGTCAGGTTCATTACACTGTAACACGATTACATTTTTAGGAGTTTAATTAAAATTAATGGTGCAATTTGGCGCAGGTTGTTTCATTTATAAACTGTCACAGGCCACGGCTTACCGGCCGAGTTATCTTATATTTTTTCTTCATTATAAAAAGGGTGTGGGCTGGCGTTACAATTTATATTGACTACGTTTTCTATTACACTATATTTATGGGGTGGATAAATGGGGCAGCGTTGTTTTTAAATGATCACCCAGATTATTTTTCACTTATACCACTGTATAAAAAGACCCGAATATTTTTGTGTAAATGCTCATATTTGCAATAGTATACGTATCCGACGATTCGATATCCGAAATTCTATTTTTTGAGATAACAGCACTTCTCAAACAGCTATAAAGTGACCTCAATCACATTAAAGTACCTAGTGCAATGACGTCATAACCACAATTGCCTGCTGCCAGAACCTATTAAACGCACAGCTGCATTAATGCGCTCGTTTCACTTGTTTACCTGTTTGTTTCAATTAATTAAAAAGCTTTTACTGCAATCTCTTGACAGTCACGTCATTCCGAAAAATATTGTGAAAATATTATTACTCTCTACTCAAAGTATCGAGTGTATTGGTGATGTTTCAGCTTCGTTACGCGGAACGAAAGTTCAAACGTTAAGAGAAAATAAAACGCAGCCAATTAGATTATTCGCAAATAGGTGAACGTCGAAAAAGGTAACGTATTTCTCTGATAAGAATTGTTACTGGATGAATTCTAAGTTTTGGAAAATGTTTAGAAATTCTTTGACATCACATGGCATAGTTAGTTATATGGGTATACATGACTTGTTTACTATTTCTCTGTGTGTTAAGTATTAGAAGTTCATAACGTGTGAATTGATTACCACATAGGTACATTAAGAACTTAGACTTGAATTGAGACAAACCTAAATCGAGATAACCATAATATGGATTTGTAAAGTGACCACTTAATAAAACCAACTTTAGAAAAAGTGTCAGTGTTATCCCATTTAGATAACACTGACACTTTACTATTTGAAATGAAAAAAACATTTTTTCTTATCGCACTATATATGCTGAAAACATATCGACTTATATTTTTGTAACATACATAAAAAATCTGGTCGGATCGACCACCTCTTTTGAAGTTCGTTTAAAAAAACTGACTAACCTGTGTATGTGGTTGTGCATGTGCAGTGAGATGAGCTCGTACTGCAACATGTAGTCTTAGTGTCAGGTGTCCATGAGCATTGGCCGCCCTGCAAGCCCAGCGGCCGCCGTCAGCTATCTCCGCTCTTCTGATGCCCAGCGCATCATGAGTCCGGCTGTAACGCCCTCCTCCCTCACCATCGCGGATTTCCCGAAGAACTCCTCCACCGGTTTCACGGTACCATCTGAAATAAGATAGAGTTTAGCAAAAAATTCCAAAAGATTTTAACTATCGTTCGTTAGATTAATACGGTGGTTTCCAACTAGTCAAATTTAATACTTTTATCCAAATGTCAAAAACGATACTTTTCTATGAAAATTGTATGAAACATTGAATTATGACGTCATAGCATTTTTGCGTCATATAGCTTACTTATTTTTAAAAAATTAGCTAAAAAATATCTAAAACTTAGTGTATCGATCGATCGATGAATAAAAGTATAGTTATTTTTCAATATTTTATCGTATTAAAACGTCGAATTAATTTATTTTTGACCTAGGAAACTACCGAATTGGTAACAGATGAGGTACTGCAAGATATATCATATGCATTAGTTTGGTGTAATTCATCGAATATTAGTTTGTGACATAACGTGATGTCGCTCGTTCCATCTGGCGAGAGAATTATTCAAGGACTTTTGGTTATATATTTAAACATGTAAAATCAAAAAGCCAATCGGATTGAGACGGAGCTCCGTTTCGTTGGCATTCCTAATAAAATCACATCAAATATCTTGGTCACTCTTTTTGTTAGTATAGAGCAGCTCACGGGACGCCCTCTCGCGGCACAAAGCGTTAGGATGAATAGCTCACATCCTCCCACTCTTTTTCTACGGAGTGTGCTCACATCACATCCGGTAACCGGAAGTCCTCATTAAATTTATATAGCTAACGGTTAGAGGCTTACAGAAAGATGTACTAATTTTGCGCACAATAAGTTACCGTAATTGTGGGAGAATGTGTTGAGTACTTTTTGATAGAATCTTTTTTCTCCGTTTAACATTGAGTTAATATCATTCTGAATTATTTCTATCAAAATGGCATTGTGGTTTTAATGGAATCGTTTGACGACCTATCGGCGTCTGGTTTGTCGAGTTTCAACTATTGTGTACCTAATATGTAAATAACTTTCCATCAACGATATAAATACATACTAACGTTCAATTGTTTTCACTACAATTAAAACGTATCTATGACCCCAATCTGTGCCTACATTTTGTCTCAAATAATATTTTTCTCCGCAGACCCTTGTTAATGTGTTATTTTTCTCATAGTCGGTTGCCAGGCAACCGCACGTCGCGCGTTCATTACAACAAAGAAAGAAAGCTGGATATATTTTCAACAAGGATTTAGGTTCAACTTTTGCCTAACTCTTGTTTTTCTAACTTAGTTCAATGTTATTTGCTGAAGAAAGTTGAAACTTCAGTAAGTTTTGAGTATATAGTGTTTTGCTGTTTACAGAAACGTATAAGATATTATTATATTTCTTTTTATAATATTTCAGTACTAAAGAATCTCAAACTGAAAATTTAGTGGGGACCTACCTTGAAGTATCTTAATTAAAAACGCTTAGATCAGTAAAGTACTTGTAAATAAACACTGTTCTATTTACACAAACGCTGGAAGCTGTGCAATGAAGTTGTTAATTTCAGGCAGCTTTGTAACGCGACCTGGCTATTTACCTCCGATGCCTGATCACTGTGAACACGTCCAAACTTTTCATCAAAGAAACTCCTTCAATGAAAATATTTTGTTCATAGACTTAGATTAACGGCAACTTGATTAAATAACAACTGAACTCAAGTAATTTTTATATGTTTTAAGATATTTTGAAACAAGGAGCCCAGTGGGCGGCCCCGTGCCTTTTGATGCCATGGCATTGAAAAACATTTTATGTATTACATTTTACTCAAGTTTGGAAATACAAAGTTAGGACAACATTTTCATAATATAACATTCCGTAACTTCAAACTTGTTTTTCCAAGACGGGTACTCGAAGTAAGTTCATTGTTGAATGTAATTTTCTTCTTTATTAGTCAATATATGTATAGGTATAAAGGATTTTTTCAATATATACCCCAACTCTTTTGTTCTCACTTTCTATTCTTTATTTTTGGTAATATTAATTATGTATTAAAAGGGGTAAAATAAGCACTTCCCAGTTAGTATGAGATTACAGCAATATTTTCGCCTTGTCTTGTACCTATGCCTATCATATAGATGGTTGGCAAACAATAACTGTGTAAATGTCACGAAACTATGTGCCTCGTACAGCAAAACTATGAAATAAACTATTGTTGGCAGAATTTCCAGAACTATACCGGTTCTGGAAATTCTAAACTTCAAGAAAAAATCTGTCTTTATGCCTTTGACTCCCGACCGAAAATGATTGAAAGCAAATCCTCCGCCGCCGTAGATCACCGGTGACCTACGCGGCGGTTAACGTGTTAAGAAAAGATTGTTCTCATTTTCAAAGGCTGGCAACACACTTGTAACGTCTTTGGTCTTACGGGTGCCATGGGCGATACTGATTGCTTATCATTAGATGATCCATCCACCTGTTTGCCTACTATTGCCATAAAAAACAATTCCACAATGTATGGGACGATCGACACTCACTCGGATCTTAGACTTGTTCAATGGAAATATCAGTCTAACTTTTCGTCATCCCTTTATTAATACGACAAAAATTTGTCGCGGAATAAAAACTTAATATTTTTCCTAACATTTAATGTCATGGATTTCCGCAGTTACGCCTGATTCTATAAATTGTCATCTCTTTATATCAACATAACAATGACGGGTTCTCGTATATAATAATGTAGTATACAAATGAGCAAGCAATATGCTTGTAGTATCTACGAACTATTTGTCGCTCAGCGCTGTATCTGACACTCGATTAGATAACTTTACAGATCCTATCGTATCGTAGACGATATAGTATTAGAAGGCATTTGAAATGCCTTTATAAAATACCGTGTAGGAATTTTCCGTTTATTTACTTTGACAGTTAACACCTCACTTAATAAACCTTCCGAAAGTAAATCAACCTGTAACACAAAAATATAATTGCTTGAGAAAATTAAACTGAAAGCAGCTATAAGAGTACATCATACTCTAGCTGCTTTCATAAAAGCTACATTAAGAGAAAATTGAAGAGAAATGTCGTCCGTAATGAATTACTTCCAGTAAATTTTCTGGGACCAAATAAATTTCTTATTAAGAATAACCCGTCGCTGCGACTTTCTTTTTGTCGTCGGTCGCAATAGCCAGGGTCTCCGCGACCGACGTAATTAGGTTTGGGAGGTCAACACGGCCAGGCAACGCGTTGACCATGCGTTACTCACTACAGTTTTTGTGCACACTAAACAATAACCTGAGCGAAGGTGTAGTTACTAAGAATCCATTACGTAATTTGGCTTTTGTATCCTGGTCCCATAACTTGAATAGATGTATCGTCAATAGTTCAGAGTGCACACAAGTGATCCAATGCGAGTGATGGCAGACACTAATCAAGGTAATTAAACACAAGGGCCTAACGAAGTACCACGACACGAAGGTTTTAATGAAAAGAACTCGATATCTTTGATTGTGATGAAACATTTCTTTAATGAACACCGAGGGCATTTAATTACAGAGTAATTCAACGCCTACCGAAGCCGCAGGAACCAATTCTCCTCATTTGCATAGATAACAAGATTGCGTCGGCAACTTCCTATTCACTCTGCTTTTCTTTATCTATACCCATGGAAAATACGAACAAAAGACTTTAAACAACTTACTAAACGTTTAAAGGTTAGAACATATAAAATAGGCTTACTTAATACACTGAATGATGTTTTAAAACGAGGATCAAATAAGGGCCTTAATGGTCCCCTAAATAAGGTCATGTAAGTCTGGTAGCACATTAAGTTGCTGTGAAATTAAATTAGTGAATCACACGTAAGTGTACATTTGAATATGAATTGTCCCAATCCGCAGCACATCGTGGAACTCCTACTGGTCCCTCCGTCCATTACTCGTGTACCTGCGCTAACAGGGTTAATTCTGCTTACCCAGAAGGCTCAAAACATTTATTTGTATTTGAACTAGAAATGAACTCCTTTGTGTCGCACACACACATGGCTATTGTTTGTCGTACTCACACTTACACACAGATCTACACTTTTGTAGCTTTCATTAAGGGTCTCACAGGGTTCCGTGGACTTGTGTTTAATTACTTATTAGTTTATTTTATTTATATATTGAATTGAATTTACTGAATTAAGTTTTTTAAATTATCACTTCATATCCTTAAACTTCATTTTGACACTGTGAAAATACGTAACAGAGGTAGTTCTTTTCTTGATATGAATTTGAATAGATTTAAGGCTATGAATCCAAGACTCAGCTGATATTCATTTTAATAGGTACTACAAAATCTCAGGAGTGCCACCAAGCTAACTATTTAATATACATATTTACGTGCAGAAATCCGGAGATATCGCATCGTATCTCAGATCAAACGCACGTGGCGTAGGGATGGGAATCAGAGCGGGTTCGGCAGCAAGACGATGGACTCCCTGGGGGCAGCACTCAACGCGTGATGGATACAGCCTTGACTCGCCCCGGGATAAAACCACTGGTGTATGCTATGAGAGGTAGCGATTTAAGTATTTACAAGAAGATCTTCATCATGTCGTGGTGACCCGGAGGTTAATGCTCTCTCTTCTTATAATTTCTAAATATAAGTTTAAAATCGCCAACCCGCATTGAGCAAGCGTGGTGATTAATGCTCAAACCTTCTTTCTCAATGAGAGAAGAGGCCTTTGTTCGGCAGTGGGCACTTATAGCCTGATGATGATAATGATGATGACAAGAAGATCTTGAGGTCGTTTAAGATACTGTAATATTTTTTTACAACTACAAAAAACGTTAATTACTACCCGTCAATTTGAAGTGAGCTTTAACTCGTTCTGAAAAAAGCGTGTTAACAAGCTAATAAAAGCCTTTTTTCAGCAGTGGTCATGTTCCAGTTGATGATAATGGTGTGATGAAAACAACGTGTAACTGCTTTGCAAGGTTCCAAAGAATAATAGGGAATGCATTTCAAAACAAAGGACTCTACATATCTTTGACACAAATCGACAAAGATGAGATACAATACTAACATCTGAAATGCAAACTTCTAAAATGGAAATCATAG